CAGTTATTATAAATTGCCATTACATAACTATTACATAATATTTAAAACCGATATCAAATAACTATTTTATCAGAAAATATCGCTAGTTTTATAAGAAAGCTTTCAGCTAAATAGTAAAACTAAATTAAGATATACAATTTTATAACTGCAAACTTAATTTCTTCCAACAATGAAAAAAAACAATTTTTGATGATCTTGTTCAAAAGAATGCCCCTTCTTGAAAAATATAATGGGCCCCATTGTAAAAAAAGTTAATGATAAACTTCCCCTTTTGCCTTATAATGATATTAACCACAACAAAAGTTCCCTATGATAAAATTTTAAACTATAAATAAATTCCACATTCCCTTTCTCAAGTAAATATTTTCTTAAAAAAGTAATTTTATGTAAAAATATGCAAATGATACAGAATTAGAAGTGATAAGTGTTATCTTTACGCGATTTATATAAAACAAATTCTCAGAAGCTGCCGATATTTAGGTATTTTAAATTTATATACTATTTTGGATTTATGTGATAATAGTTTAGTAGAAAAATATAAATTTTTTACATAATTCCGTGGCCAGTCTCGCTATTTATATAAAATAAATATTATCTATAAATAAAATAAGAGAGCGAGGCAAATTAGACAAATTTTTCATTTTTGATAAAAATAAATAATGAGCTAAAAAATTGTTTTAGTGAGATATTCACATAATTTGTTCCCTATTTTAAACCATTATAAACTTGAGATGTATTTTGGTAAGCCATTATTTCTATCTATACTTTAATGGTATGATTTCAAATGTTTAACTAAAGTATCAATTTTAAACTTTGCATAAATACCCCAAAAATAAATAAATCTTTTTCAAATAAATTTAAATAGATATTTTTCTGCATACCTCTCTGAAAGTAAATATAAGTGTTATTATTAGAGATTTTAACAATTTTTTTTAAAAAATATTTTAATCTTGTTCAAAAAAATTAATTAAAGTTATAACCATCACAAATCTATTAAATGCTTCCACTTGAGAAAATACGATATCGCTTTTGTTATTAACACGATTATCACATATCACCGCAATCTCAAAAATACCACAGTTTAGTTATTTAGCACATTTTTCTTATATCCCAATTTCTATTAGAGAAAAATTTAATGTTTATAGTTCCTAAAATTTAAAGAGTTTGGCGTTTTATTTTAGACAAGATATATTAATAGGTAATATAAAAATTAATTAACGGCGTCTTTTTCTGTTAAAAACGCATGAAAGTTTATGCTTTCATTTTAAAAAAATTTGTCACTTAAACAATAAAGCTTCTTTTTTTTAGAAAAATACAAAGATATACACTTTCGCTTAATTTGTAAGCACTAATGTACTAACAAATGGAGTTGGTAGTAATTTTGGAAGAATAAATTTTTTTTAAAACAAAACATTTTTAATTTTTATGAAATTGTGCCAATGAATACCAATACCAAGGGAATGTTTCATATGTAAATGTATAAAAAATTTTATTCTAATTAAAAAGTGTTACATTGATTTTTGGTCTCTAGTACTAAGCGATATATTTTAAAAAAAATAGTATTAAATTAGAGAAATAAAAGGCGTCGTAAAAAATATAAAATAAGCGCGATATTAATAGTAAATGACAAACAATTGGGAAAAGAAAAGGTAGTCATCTTTTTCTATATTAATTCTTTCATAATTATTTACAAATACATTCTTATTCAATACGTATTTTTTTCTATAAAATGGCCATAAATGAATATGTCAAGGCCCTCACGTGATACCTTATTATAAAAAACGATTTTATAATATAAATAAAGTATCTTGCGAAAAGCCCTTTGGTTTTTCTAATTTAAAAAATAATTTTTGACACACTTAAAAGTTCGAAGCCTTATCTCATAAGAATAATTGGTAAGCTAATGTATATTAATTTATAAATTTTATTTTAAATTCTATTCACGATGAAATTTAAGAATGATTGATTTTAATAAAGAAAAATTGATTCCATTAAAAGATTAAAGCATCATCATAGCTATTAAATCGTGAATGAAATTCAGTCTTGGACATAATTATTATAAAGAAATAAAATCAGCCTTGGACATATAAGGAATTATGAAATTTGCATTGGGTCAATTTTAAAACCACTCCATTTATTTAAATTTATTTCATTAATTCATGTTTTCCTTCATTTAATTTGAGTTAGTGCTTATTTAACTTTTAATAAATATAAATAAAATTTATTTTAAATTTGTTTTTTTTAAAATGAAGCATAAATAAATATTGTGTTACTCCAATTTTGAATAGTTAGAACTAGAGAGTTGCAATTATTTAAAATAAAAAAAAGGATTATACTATGGTTTAAATCATAAATTCAAGAGGAGTGTCAATCATTTCTCTTTGAATATAATTATTGATTATAGTCCAACTCAAGGAAATTACGGTTATAACAGCTGACTTATTTAAATTTATAGTCGTATGATGAATTATCAAATATGACAGAATAAAAATGTTTAAATTTTATTTTTAACCATTTGTAATATATCTTAAACCCTAACCTCAGGCTGGTAGCCAATGTGGGTGGGGGAAATTTTACCCCTCATCGCAAATTTGACTGTTCTAGTAAATATAATTTTAAGCTAATAAAAACTCCCCTCCCTCTAGTACTTCCTTCTCTCCAATAAATTTAAACAATTTATCATTATAAGGTAAACTTTAAAAGAAAAATTAGTAAAAGTTAATAACTTTTAAAATAACAGCTATGATTCAAAATTTGTCGAAAAAAGCAATTTTATGAAAAAAAATGAAAACCCAAAATTATTTTTATAAAAATCTATCTTAAGGCTTATAATAAGTGGACTTAAAGATTTTCAATAAAATTTGTAGGGAAAAAAATTTATCTAATAATGCATTCCCCCCTCTGCCTAAATCCTGGATATGCCAACAATAACACTAACCCTAATCTCTCTAACCTTTAAACCTACTCGTTACATCGGATTTTTTTAATTTTAAATATATGTTATTCAATTAAAAAATCTTATTCAGTTGAACATTTGTCTAATTGAGTTATTATCATAATTATTCTATCTTGAATAGATTATTGAGCTCATTTTACTAAATTGACTATAAATGAAGCAGCACAGCTCGAATAGCAATTTTCTAAAAAAAACAATCAAAATATATTAAAATGCAATAATACGTATTTTTAAATATTATATTAACACAGATGAAATCTGTGATAGCTTCCGATCTGCTATAATACATCATGTGCACAATCACCATATATTAATTTTTTAAAAAAACATCTTTCCTTATTCGAACCCCATGTTGAAGCGCTCCATCGCCAACTGTGCCATAGTTGCTAATCAAAAGCAATAATTTTTTTATATATAAATAAATGCACAACGGTTTCGCATTTTCATTGCTCAAACGAATAAGCCTAGCATTCTCATTTTATTGTATCGTTTCGATTATATCAAGTTATATATAATTTTTAATTTCCTAAGGCAAGTAAGTCTTTATAAGTTGAAACATGAAATTGGACAAAGGCCATAACAATTTTTGTGAATCACTTTCATGTTTTTCTATCAAATTTGAGTTACTTAGTTACAAATAGTGTATAAATATATAAATTAAGTGTTACTCTTATCATTGAGGGTTTGTACTAAAGTGATTTTTTTTTAAAAGAAATTAAATCATTAACTACAAAAAAAACACATATAATAATAATAATTGTGATTATAATCGGTAAATCAAGCTCGAAAGATGCTAAATCTTCCTTAATTAATTTTTCTATCACTCGAAAAAATTCATTCAAATTGATTGTCAGATAATAAACGAAAGAGTCACTACAAATATATACTGAGAGTATTATTAATTAGGTGGGTTGAGCTAAGATTTAATTTGAAATAAGTTCTTATTCGGAATAAGTAAGGTGCGAAGGGGGGGGGGGCTACAACTCACTATTCTGATTTTTATAATATTCATAATATAAATTTATTTGATGTAAACCTTCATTTTTCATTTTTTCTACTAAAAGAGTAATTAATTTTTTTTTAAAAAAAGAAACAATATTGTGAAATATGATTATAATATGATATAGTTAAAACTTCGAGAAGTGTTTATTTAATTTCCATCATAAATGAACCATCATTCAACAAAACACTTCAACCATGAGAGTAGGGGTATATGATATTGGAAGTGGGAAGGGGAGGGAGAAAAGATGATAACGTCATTAGAATAAAATGGGAGGGGTCGAAGGTAAAGAAATAAAATGGTGGTGAGGAGTATTTGCTAATTTTGATTTCCTTTTTTATTTTTATAATTTTGATACTGAATTCCTTATTTATATTTATATAAGGGGAGAGTAGGAGGAAGAAAGTTGGCTCGGGAGTAGGAAAGAGTTAGGAGTTGGATAAATTGGTATTATAAGGGGGTTAGGAGTAGGAAGGGCGTTTTATCGTTATTAGCTTAGATGTAGAAGTCATCTACCAATATATTAAAATTTATATATAATTAAGCTGACAAACATTATCATAGAGAGAACATTTTAAGGAATATTAGTATTACTATCATTTTCATAGATTGATGCTAAATTAATTTTTTAAAGAAAAATTAAACAATTGGATAAAAAATACCAAAATAAAGAATAAATTTAATAAATTTGTGATTATATTCCTTCATAATTTGAACTCATTTACAGATATACATCTAAATTAATATCGTATTTTTTTAAATAATTTGGCATTAAGTTGAAAGTTAGAAAACCATAGATATATTTCTAATTAGGATGATTGACTTTTAAAATTTATTCCTTTTGATAATGGGTTTATTTATCCTGGTATTAAGAATACAGTTGTTCTTGCATGTTTTTTCCTAATTAAATTTGTATTCCTAATTTCTGATAACCTATACAAATAAATATGTTTACTCCAATTTCGAAAGATGAGTGCTGTTAAATTTATTTTATAAGATTAGTAGAAGCAAAAATATGTGTAATAATTATAATATATCGTTTAAATTAAAACCTCGAATCTCTATAAAAATTATTCCCTCGGAATGACTATTCTAAGATAAAAGTTTCATATTATGTAATATTTGACCCCATAGAATATTAACCATTAGTTTTAAAAAAATCGTTATGAGTAAATTAGATTTTTGGAAACAATTTGAAAGAATATTTTTTCCCGTTTCAAATAAGTCTTTAAGATGTGGAGTGTTGTTAGGACCGATTTAGCCATTACTACTTTATGATATTTCATTAATAGATGCCCAAATTTCCGTCATCTGTGAGTAAAATCTCCAGACCTAAGTAATATTTTTTGTCAAAATATTGAGTTGACCGTTTTAAAAGATCGAACCGTTTAGCAACACTAAAAGTTATAATTGAATTTTGACCAAAGAAGTGATAAGAATTTTAACATTATTTTTATCAAATTTTCTTAAGGGAGGAAGTTATTCTTATCAGTCCTATTTTCCTGTTTTTTAATCAAGCCTAAGTTTCTTAGTTACAAATATATAGTTTTTCGTTTTAAAAGAATGAATAAATTGTTAATGTTCGAGATGTTTTGTACTTAAGTGATTGAAATATTTAATACACGATGAAAAGATTTGTTAAAGTATCAAAAAATGATTATCTTTCTTCTACTAGACCACTTAACTCATTTACAAATAAGTTTAAATTGATTATAGTGTAACCTAATTGAGATTTTTCAAAGAAAAGTAAACATTTGCGAAGATATTTATTAAATAAATTTATGTTATATACGCTCAATTGTCGTGTTTAGTGTTAAAGTGATTTTAAAAAAAATCTTAATTATACAAGTTATAAGAAAATCTTAATTGTAAAAAATATTATATAGTATGCAGTTTAAAATTTCAAAGTATTCATATTTTGATCTATAGATAATGTTATGTTCACTAATATGTATTTTCCATTATTTTCTATTGATATATAACTAGATTTCTTAAGATCAATAAAGCTACGGATGACAATCTTTTAAATTAAATTTTCATGTAATATACATAGTTTTATTTTTCAAGTTACAGAAACTAATTATATTGTTTATTTATATTTTCCTTTGCTTAGTTTATTACTAATTTATTTTAATTAAAATTCTCTTAAAAGCATATAATATTACGCAATGTTGGCATCTCCTCCCTTTGAGAATCTATTGTGGTGGAGTTTGTTGCTAAATAATTTTTATTTTAAAATTTAAACTCAATAAACATATGTTAAAGTAATTCATTCAAGAGATAGGATTACAACATAATATTAAATTAATTTCCAAACTTTTTTCTTTGAAAAATCAGAAACTTTTAGTGAATATTTTAAATATTTACCCTGTTGGACGGCCACAAATTCAAAATTATATTTATAAAATATTTCTTGTATTGCATTTTAATTTTAATATTGAATTAATCAGTTTATTATATGAAAAAGGAATAAAATTTGCAGCAATGATAGAAAAATATAAATCCTTAATATAAGGATAATCTTTTAGGTACTTGTGTGCTCTAATCTTATGATACTCGAAATTGAGAAATTCTAAGTCGTGTGTCATATTATCAAAATATTTATAAAATTTAACGGTTAAAACATTATAAAAATTATTATAGTGTTCTAAAAAAAGAAATTTTTACCTCCAATGCAGCAGAAAGTCATCGTCGAAATAAGAAAAATTGGTAGAATATTCTTCATTATTATAAAAAATTTAAGAGTTAAAAAAAATTATTATTAGTATTTTATTAATTTTATAATTCAAAAAAGTTCAAATTTCAAAAAAAAAAATATATAAATAATAGAGAGTTGAATAGTAAGTTCGTATGTAAAAATGAACTATTATAATTATATATATACTATTATTTTTCATACTATTTTAAATTATTATTTTTAAGCAAAAAAAAATATCAACAAATTTCCCAAGGATTTATTAATAGAAATAAAAAAAATAGATATATCATATCATATCAATTATTACATAAATTTCTAACAAGCTATAATGATTTTATTAAGAGAAAAATTATATTATTTTTAGAATGATCATATTTTAAATTATTGTTTTCGAATAAAAAATATTATCTTTTGTGGGAATTTATTAATAGAAGTTAAAAATAGAAATATATTTTGGATTTTCTACAAGCTACAGAATATTTTTAAGAGAAAATTAAATTAATTTTAAAAAAATTTTAAAATAAAAAAAAAAGTATTAAAATAGAAAAAACACGTTTGTTTCTTATTCTCATATTAATTAGGCAGTTTCCAAAACATAAAAAAAAATTAATTCGCAAACTTTTGAAACTTTAATGAAAATATATAAATAAGCTATTTTAAATATAAATATAAAAACATGTCCAAAACATATTTCTTTATAATTTTAAAAATTTTCTAAAGTTTTGATACTTTTCGAATTTTTACAAAATGGCTTAGGACACCATCTTAAAAAAATTGAACAATGTATTAAGTAATAAAAAAAAAATAAGGTTATTTATAATGTATTTTGCTGCTAGAAATAACATTTTTTTAAAAATCTGAAAAAGAAAAACTTACTGTTAATACGATATTAATATAATATTTTTAAAATATTTATTCATGATTGGAACGGCTCTAGGCTGCCTTTAAAGTTTCCTTTTTTTGGTAGTCCAAGGCTTCTAACTGCCTATATTTAAAAAAACTAATATGAAACTCTATTCTATCTGATAGAATAATCAAATGTTTTTAGGTCGGTCTATTCTCTTCCTACTATGAGCAAAATCTTATGACTTGCGTTATATTTTTTTGGATAAAATATTGGGTCAACATTGCTAGCACATATTTAATCCGTTTTAATTTATTATTTAATACACGAAGGATCATACAAAAATAAGACCCACCTAAAATAATAATATTTATATTTTTAATATTTTTGCACGCAATTCCTATCTTTTTATTTTAGACTTATTAATAGAAGTAAAATGGAAATATTATTATAATATAATTATCTAACAAGTTATGAAAACATTTTTTTTTAATTTTTTTCTAATAAAAATGTTAGATTTCCCAAAAAATTAATTAATAGAAGTAAAATGTTTTAGATTTTCTTCAAGCTTTTAAATATTTTTAAGGGAAAATTAAACTATTTTACAATGTTTTTTTCTGATCAAAAATTCTAAGGAAAGTATTAACAGAGAAAAAAAACATTTTTTGTTTCAGATTTTTCTTACATTATAATATTTTTTCTGAACTCCATTTGAATTTAAAAAAAACATATGAGACACTATGAGACTCTAATATAATCAGATATAAAAAAAAATTATCGAATGTTTTCAGGTCGGTCTCATTTTTGGAACATTTTGCAGGTCTAGAGTTTTTATTTTAAACCGTGAGTAGCAATGGAGGATATTTTACCATCTTATAATTTTTTAAAAATTATTGTTACATTATAAAGGTTTAGATATTTTAAACTCCTATTTTATGTTGAACTATTATTTCTGCTGAGGTTCGTACAATTATTAAATAGTTTATAAAAATTAATACATTGATTTATGGTAAGCACGTGATTTTAATTAATTTATATAATATATTCTTTGAAGATAGATATAAAAAAACAAATTAAGATATTTTTAATAGTAGAAAAATGGGGGGAAAAAATACGATATAATAATTATTATAGCAATTTTGCTTAACCCTTTAATATTAAAGTGGAAAAAAAGTAATCCAAGTTGTTGGTTGGGACTTAGCTCAGGAGATCCGACGTGCTCGGTCTCGGTAGTGCAAATAAAAAACCACCTGTCAACCTTTATATCTTCTAAAGGAGTTGATCATATAAAATGAAACCACCAAAATATATTATTAAGTAAGTTACTTATTCATATGTGTGTGGAGGTTGTATTTAAAAAAAAAAAATTTTCAAGCATTTATTAAAAATATGGCAATATATTAATAGAAAACTTAAAGGGTTAAAAGAGAATGATAAGAAAAAAATTATTCTAAATTTGTTAAAATATTAAAATTTCATTTTGCTTTTAATTGATTAAATGATCTACTACTATTATCATTCATTCATTCATATATATGATATTTTTTTACTTTTCCTACATTTTGTGTTTATTGCTAATTATCCTGAAATCGAAATCCTCATCATTAATGATTATTTTTTCATAGGATACATTTGTTGATTTTTAAAAAACCGAGCTGGACAACTTTAGTAAAAAAAAAATTGGAACAGGAAATGGCACGGCTGGGTACAAATTTGGACTGCGGGAAGGGAAAAAACTAGATTCCAACCGGACCATGCCGGGCTTAAAGATTTTGTTACGTGTAACCATCTAGCTCGCCCCCCCCCTCCCCACTTTATAATTGTTATAACACGCTTCAATTTCTATAATAATATTTAATATTTTTTTATATTTATTAAGTTTTAACTTTAAACTTAAATTTAATTGCAAATATAAAAAAATTTAAGATTTAGTTTTAAATAAAATACTTGCGAAAATTTTTATAAATGGTGTCAAAAATAAAGTTAAATTGCCTTAAAAAAAATATATATATTCAACATTTTTACTATAAAAATCTAATATAAACATCCAATAATCATAATTTTTATCAAATTAATATTTAAGTTTAAACTTATTTTGGGATAATGCCTTGATTTAAATAAACTATAAGAATTAAAATGCGTGTTTCCAAAATACGTTTATATGTTAAAAATAATAAAAATGCATGAAACTTGGCAAAAATATAACAAGGAAGCTTCTAAAAAAACCAGGACAAAATAAAAAAAAATTTTGGTAACAATTTGAAAATTCTTTTTAGAATGTGCTACTATACTCCCCAAGGGTGATGTGAATATAATAGGGCGAACCTTTTGATTACGATGTAAACATCCTTTTTTGTTCTTATTTATTTGTAACCATTCGATAATTTACGATTTCTTAATATTATTCTATAATTATATATTTAAAATATTCAATTTTTGAATTTTTCGTTTAAGCGGCGCAACCGATGTTTGTACACGTCATACCAATGACGGTTACTATGACTAAATATATCAGAAAACGGGAAAGTTAAGAATAGAGATTATAAATAAAAAGGTTGTTGAAATATTACTTTAACAAAGAATAACATTTTAAATGGATCTTGAGAATTGATATTACCAATTATCAGAGAAAGGATGGGCCAAGATAGAATAAGAAATGTGTATGGCTTAATTGGGATTTCGATATTAGTATATAGCAGTGGCGTCACTAGGGGGGAGCGAGCAGGGGCTCGAGCCCCCTGAAAAATTTGAATAGCCCCTTGAAGCAAAAAAATATTTTTTAATGGCTCCTTAATATTCCCTTGAACTAAAAATAAATTTTTTTGATTGCCCCCTGAATGATTTCTTTTATAATTCGATTAAGTAATATATAGATTTAATTTTATTATTTAGAAATTAATAAGACTATTTAAATTTTTATTAAATGAATACTATTTTAATTATTAGTTTAGATTAATACATATAAATCATATTTTAACTATGTCAGCTTGCAATCAAACTCTGTATTAAAAATATAATATCAATAACTCACTAAATATTAATTTAGCTTTAACAGTTGAAGTTTAATTGACTTTTATTATTAAATTATTATATAAACCTAATTAAATATTTATAATCATATAGTATTTGAAAATTAACAAATTTAATATTCTAATCAATATATATTTATTTTTAAATTTTATTATCATACCTATTCCTAAAAATATTTTCAATGTCTAAATAGTATAAGTGATTTCTTTATAAAAAGTAAGTAGACATATAGTTTATAACCTCTACTATATACAGTTGTTTATAAAATATTAGATAAAATATCACTTTTATAGCCGTATTTGACAGTTATATAATATATTACAGTTAATACTATAATAAATTTTACTAATAAATAGTTTTGATAATAAATATAGAATTTGCATTCAAGTATTTAACGCCATCTATTTAGTTATAAATAATTTTAAAAATTAAACATTTTATTTTTTACAATAGATGTAAAAAATTTGATATTTTTTTTTCTCTCTTTTTTTACGTGTTTTTAGGAAAGCTATTTTTTTCTTTTTCGAAAAACAGTTTTGAGTTAAATGTTTAATGCAAGTATATTTTTGATATTATTACAAACTACTATAATTTTAAGATATAATGTATCAACTAGATGTGGTGCTACAATAACATATAAAATCTTACTCGCTTTTATCTTATAACTCTGGTCCTTATTTTATGTTCCAGAATGAATCATTTCTAATATGACATTGCCGTGTAAATAACTCTAGGCTTCAATATATTTGCATAATTATTTCTTCCAAAGATTTTAGTATTTTTGTTTCATCAATTTATCTAACATAATAAATTCTGATATGGGTTACCATCGTGAGTGTCGTGGCTATGAATGTAAATTAACCAGCATCTATTATTTGTGTGGCTATGTAATTTAAGATTATTACTACAGCTGCTGAGAGCATATGATATTATATTTTAGATAAACAATAATGGTCAACTGCGTTTATATATTATTTAAAATGGAAGATAATCTTTTAGAAATTTAATATCTCACAATAATTTTCTCGATTACTTATCTAGCTTCCATCTTGTCATCTAAAAGGAAGCTCTAACCACCATATAGTTTTATATTTGGAATGGTCGTTTATACTCTCTTCTTCAAAAATTGTTAATTTGGTTTAGGCCAATAAATTTTTCATTATTAGTCCATTCTATAAAACATTGTCTAAAATGGTAACAGAGAGTTATATTAGTTTGATTACCTTTTGTCAATGTAAGTTACTAAGAATTATATTATTGCAATATGTGGTTTTTAAAAACCATTATCAATTGAGGCATATATACGAATTAATTAATCTTTTTTATCACTTATAATCCTTTAGACGCAAATTTTTTTATATCAGCAATCGAGAATATTACTGTAATAAATAGATTTTGTATTAAAAAAATATTACTTTTAGAAATGTCTTGTATTGTTTTAATTATTTATATTATATGCCAGTTTATTTTGTATGCATAATATAATAACTGACAAAATATGAAATTCAAATTAATTTTCTAAAATCTAAAAGTAATAATAATTTCATTATTTTTTTAAAAAAATTAGAACTTTTGTCTGAAATAGCCTATTATATGATTTTCCGTTTAGCGTCAGATTAACCAAAGCCGTCACTTAGTTTACCCTCTAAGTCTTTCAAAGATATATGAGCATAAGAACTACCACATCTGAGAAAACTATCTAGGTATTGGAAAAATATTTCCCAAATGAAATCGATACCAATTTAAAAATATTTAAAAGAGGAAGTTAAAGGGCATATCAACACCTCCGTATCACCCTTGTTTATTCGAGTAAGCCGCTAGATTTGTAAGAAGGGTAAAAATTGCTATGGAGAAAATATCCAGTATTAGATAACACGAATTATTATTAAGGTACAGAAACATTATCCATCCGACGATGCGTAGAGCACAGACTACGATGATGAAAGGAGAAATGCTAAAACGCATTTATAATCTTATTTCCAATATATTTTTTACTCATATACCCCCCCCCCCAGATATAATGGAGGCATATAACTCCTATCTTTTTGGGGGGTTAATGCAGACACTGGTTAATTTGTCTATATCAGATAGCTACAGAAACTTCTACCAGGGGTAGAGAGTCGCCTGAGATTGTTTAAAATTGAAAGAGAATAAAGGCATTGTGATAACGCTATCGGCATTAGAATAAATGGATATCAAGATGACATGCTAATTTGGATATCCCTTTTCGCAATTAATTTATGTCACTTTCATTAATTAATTTCAACAGGAAATAGAGGGCTAGAATTTTTTATTTATAATATCTAGTAAGCATTAAGAATTCAAGCGAAAAAAATAGGATTGGATTTGTGGCTTGGATTTGCTGATTTTTGATGAATTTGATTAATTACTGTATTGCCACTATTGTTTAATATCATAATAAATAAAATCATTAAAGAAGCACTTAGCGCGACCGATCTAATAGATTTAGGGACAAACGAGTCGATACTTTTAGAAAATAGAATTACATCATATGCAGGTGACATTGTAGTGGTAATTAAAAATATTAAGGAAACCAAAAACTTATTCTACCTATTAGAAACCTTCGAGTTTACTAGTGACAAATTTCAACAAAACAGTTATTCTCCCCTCCCCAAACGCATCACCGTACAAAATTATAAGATTGGGGCAAACGCAGTAAAAATAGTAGACAAAATTAATTACTTAGAGGTCACTCTCGATAATAAAGGTAGTTGCAAATGAATTAGAATACAGAAGGCAAGAGGTGTTTTCTACATGTAAATGAAAATTATAGAAAACAAAGAGATCTCGTTATTTACTAGACTACGTATCTTCAACTCGACAATAATTCTCATAATACTCAATGGAGGCAACATATGAAAAATAAACAAGCCAGATGCCTCTTAATCATAAATAGTATCTTCTATCCAAAAATCATCTCAAATGCCAATCTTTGGAAAATCCAATCATATGCCAGTAAACTTAAACTTAAAAAACGCGAATTCAGTTTTTAGTCCACATAATAAAAAATTCTGATCACAGCTGCCATCACATGCAGGGTTGCCATGTCTCCCCACCCCCCCCCCATCAGCGGGAGACTCCCGCAATTTTTTAGTTTACACGCAGACATCTCTCTCCCGCAAATCTACCGCAATTGAAAATCTCCCGCAAAAATCTACCGCAATTTTTTAATTTCTTCCGCAATTTTTTTTTATAGTATTTTAACGTTTTTAATATATAAATAATAATTTTGAGAGACATTAATTGATTATTTTTATATTTTAATATATTTTAAATATTTATTCGAAAATCATGTCTAGTTTGTAAATTTCGTTCTATCCTGTTTTTTTATCTAATAATAAATATCATTTCATTCATATAAGTCAGTACAGGGGAGTATATCAACATCGACTGCAATACAAAAATATTCTCAAAAATAATAAATAATACAGATGCAACTAAATTTGCGGAAATCGTATACATCTATCATGTAGTTCAACATTCACAGAGCTATATAATCACAATGTGGGTCGAATATTTTTCTCATGATATTTAACGACTCCAATATAAATGCAAACCGTACTTGTGGCAGAACAAAAATGAGCAAGGCTGTCACAAGTGTTTTAGTACCTGAATCCTATAGGTCAATTTTAGGGGAGATGATAAACTTACGCCAAATGGCGTATTAGCAAGAAATAAAAGCTATATTTTTCCTTATTTATACTATTTTCCGATTCGATAAAAAGTTACGAAGTGGTAAAGAAAATGGATGCATAAATAATATCGTAAACGAAATTCAATTACCTCAGAATTTAAAATTAGTATTTAGAGTATTGGATTCACAAAAAATTACAGACTTTATTGTTAATAGTAATATATTCTTATGATGATATCTATTGCCAGCTTTTCAGTAATATGTTATATATGATTTTTTTAAATTTTGGTCACTCCAAGTAATTGTAGTTAATTTTTAAAGACAATTTTTGATATAATAAAAATAAGATGGAATGAATTAGGAAATTTAGAATGATTGAGAAAAGAATATATATAAAGAAATACATTTTTAATTATATTTGTATGTCTTATTTTAAAGGTTACTTGGAAACATTAAAGTTCTTACCTTGTGATGACTTATTCTATAAAATTGACACACAACAATCCTTAGCAAGCTTCAAATTTACAAACTTAAGATTTACAGTATTGGATTCTGTTGCGTTATTCCTTTATCTTATTTTTTGTTTTGTGCATTTGAACTTTTATTATTTTTGTTATAATCTAATTTTATTTTATAAACGGCGTAACCTTACTTTTTTAATATTATTTTACTTTTTTGTATTTCGTTTTATATTCTAATTTATATTTTAGAAAAGGTATTTATACCTTAAGAAAAGAAAAAAGAAGTTAGTTAATAATATATTTTTTATTTAATAAAGTTAATAAAACTTATTTATTATTCACCGGCACATATTCATGTTATTCTACATGGTGCCTCCAGTTTTGGCAAAAGAAACTCGCCTTATGGAAAATTTTTTTAAAAATAAAATTTTTTTCCCTTTGTAAATATGGTTAATAAAAAAAATTATAAAATGGTACAAACAATTCTATATAAGATGGATAAAAAAAGGGTAAGTCATTTCAAAATTATTTTCATCAATTATGTTCGCCTTCAAACTACTAAATGTACCCCATCAAATCTCCATCTACGATATTTTGTTTGAGTTAACCTATAATTCCGATGTCAACTTTTATAGGATAGACGGTACGGAGGACGTGTTGTTTGAATTTATGAACTTAAGAGATATGATTAATTGTTTCGAATTGTTAAATGGGAAACATTACATTTATGGTGACAATGATTTCATTGAATTAATCTGTATATTTACCAAAACATGAATAGCTATACCAAAAATTTGAATTGATAAAATAATAAATGTTATAATTGCTTATTTATGTGTCTTATTAATTAAATATGGAAATTAAACAAGAATTTACACATAAGATCCCTAGTTAGTGGGTCCTCTTACTGAAATTTATTTAGACAGAATATTAAATTACTTTTCGACCAGTACATTATCGGACTCTATTAAAATTAATACTTTGCTTAATAATTTATCAGACGAAGTTTTTGACGACATTAAGGCAATTTGTTCTGATACCGATATTTTAGATCTTAAAATTGTGATTAAAAAGTTAACCTATCTTTTACCAGCGCTAAATTTAAATACTTTAATTAATAAATTTAATCTTCTTCAACAAAACTCATCAGAGAGTTTTATGCTGTGGTACATTAGAGTATCGAAACTTCATAAGAAATGTAATTTTTTGGACGATAGTAGATTAAAAGAGAAATTACGGACATCTACTTTAAACGATAAAATTAAATACAAATTCTCCAAAAATTTGGACCTTACATTGAATCAGATGGTGGAATTAGGGGTGAAACTGGACTCTAGTAATATTAAGTCTGAGGATAATGATATAAGTTATGTAAATAATGATAAAAAATCCGATAAAGATAAAAATTTTTGCAGTAGAAATGATAATAATTTTCGAAATAATTTTAGAAATAATTATGATAATAGATATAGAAATGGGAATTACAATAATAATTTTAGATACAATTATGGTAATAATAATTCGCGATACCACGATAATTATAACAATTATAACTATAACAATTATCGCTATAATAATAATAATCAATCGAATTTTGGTAGAAATAATACATGGTATGATTATAATCAAAGAAAACAAATCCAATACGGTGACGGAAATCGTAACAATTACCAATCTTATTACAACAACTCAGATAATTATAGAGGTAATGATAAGTATCAGAGAAAGCAAATACAATATAACAACAACTCAAATAATTATAGAGGTAATGATAATATTCAGAGAAAGCAAATACAATATAATAACAACTCAAATAATTATAGAAGTGGCGACGAAAATAATAAAAAGCAAATACAATACAATAACGATTACAACATGAATATTGAAGAAATTATTGAAGAGAAAGTTGATTCTACAAAGAACAAAGATGATAATGATTTTAATGTCAACCTGGTGACGTGATTAATGACAAAGATAACGGATGTTGTTACTTGTATGCAAGTGGACACTGGATCCAAATACACTATCATACCTCATGGTCTGGCTAAAAAACTTGGTATTAGAGATCTTAAGAAATCCGAGCTACAACTCACTGCTTATGACGGGAATTTAATCAAAATCATAGGAACTACTCAAGTTAAAGTGACTTATGATGGTATGTCCAAATATTTACAAGCGGTAGTGGTTGAATCAAGTAAAAATGCTTTGTTGGGACGTATGTGGATCAATGCTTTCAAAAATATTTTAAATAAATTTATAGCAAATATTGACACTAATTACGAAGATGAAATAAAAAAATTGATTAAAGAGTGTGAATCGAAATTGACTAATGGGCCAATTAACAAAGCAAGTGTCAAGTTACATTTAAAAAATGATGCCCAACCTAAATTATACCGCCTAGACGTATACCTTATTCAAAAATTGATCTTGTTAGTAAAGAACTCAAGAAATGGATACATGATAAAATAATTGAGCCGGTGAATGATGTCCGATGGGCAAGTCCTGTTACCGCTGTCTATAAAGAAGATGGGAGCATTAGGCTTTGCGCTGATTTTAAGGATACTGTAAACCCAGCTCTAGAAGACTTTAGATACCCTCTACCACGAATTAATGATCTAATTGCTAAACTTTCGGAAGGAAAGAAATTTACGAAGATTGACTTTAAAAATGCTTTCTTACAGATTCCAATTGATAAAAGTTGCAGAAATATTTTAACCATATCTACGCATAAGGGATATTACCAATTTACTAGACTTCCTTTTGGGCTTAAGACCTCATCTGCAATTTTTCAACAGATTATGGATCAAATCTTCGGGGACATGGATGACGTTATATTTTATATTGATGATTTACTTATAACTGGAAAAAATGATGAAGCCCACCTAAACAACATAAAAAAAGTGTTTGATAGAATATCATCGTTTGGGCTAATACCTAACTTTAATAAAAGTGTGTTCTTTAAAAACAAAGTGAGGTTCCTGGGTCATGATATTGACGCTAAGGGGATTCATGCTAATCACGACAAAATTGAAGCAATAATTAATATGCGAGAACCAAAATCAGCTGCTGAATTATCAACATTTCTGGGAATGGCTGGCTACTATAGAAAATTTTTGAACAATTTTGCGGAAATTGCCGATCCTCTTTATAAGATTGTCAATAAAGAAAAATGGGCTTGGAATCTAGAACACTCTTAAAGTTTTAATGATCTAAAGAAGTTAATTAGTCTTCCACCTGCTTTGACATATTTTAACCCTGAATTACCTATAGGGATAGCCTCTGACGCATCAAAATGTGGTTTAGGAGCTGTTCTATTTCATATTGAAAAAGATGGTAAAGAAAAGCCTATAGCTTTCGCGTCGAGAACTTTATTAAAATCTGAAATGAATTATACCAATATTGAGCGTGAGGCTCTCGCTATAATGTTCGCCATAAAGAGATTTCAGGAATATTTAATCGGCACAAAATTTACAATTATTACTGACCATAAGCCTCTAGTTCACATCTTCACCAAGGGTCTTAAGGATAATAGCACCATGTCGTTAAGACTCCAGAAGTGGAATATTACATTAGGAGGATATGATTTTTATATAAAGTATAAAGCCGGTAAATATAATGTTGTTCCTGATTGCCTTTCAAGATTACCACAAGAATGTCGTGATGAAACTATTGAAAATGTAACCATTAAAAATGAATATGAGGACTTACCTATTAACTTTGATCAAATCCGTGATGAAACTTTGAAAGATACGGAATTAAAACAAGTCATAAATGATATTAATAACAACAGACCTATAATGAATAATATTTATAAAAACATTGAATTGGAATTAAGTATAATTAAAGATTGTCTTTACAAAAGCAATAAAATTATAATTCCGTCTTCTATGAGAAAAACTATACTACAGTCATTACATGAAGGTCACTTGGGAGCAGGAAAAATCAAATCCTTAGCCAAAGATTACATGTGGTGGCCTGGCATAAATAATGATATTGTTATGGAAGTGAAAAGTTGTGATGATTGTAATATATATCACGATAATCCTATAAAGATACAAAAACCATGGGTTTCGGCAACTAAACCGTTTGAAAGGATACATATAGATTATGCGGGTCCGTTTTTCACAAAAAATTGGTTGATAATAGTCGATGCCTACAGCAAATTTCCAATCATTATTCCTGTTAAAAATATTACGACTAATGTTACTTTAAAAGAAATCTTTAAAACTATTTCGCTATAAGGAATACCTGAAACTATAGTTACTGATAACGGCACTAACTTTACGAGTAACGATTTTGAAAAATTTTGCAACAATTTTGGTATTAAACATGTGCTTACATCTGCTTATCACCAGCAATCCAATGGCCAGGTTGAACGCATGGTTAGAACGTTCAAAACACACATGAAAAGGAATAATAAAATAGACCCAGATATCGCACTTAGCAAATTTTTACTTAATTACAGAAATACGCGTAATGATACTACAGGAGTTACACCATCACAGAGAATGTTTAATCGAGATATTAGAATTAAATGGGACTTATTAAAACCGATGGAGGAAAAGAAGAATAAAATAAACGTTACTTTACCACAAAATAGAACTTTTAACGTAGGAGATTTTGTTTGGTATAAAATACAAGGTGATGATAAATGGTGCAAAGGTATAATCACACATAAGGAAAGTGATATGTTGTTCCAAATTAAGACTGAGAAAGGTATTTTGAGGAGACATTTAGATCAAATAAGAATTAGAAACTGTTTTAACACAATTATTAACTATGACTCTAAGGATTCTTTTAAGGAGGGAAGTATGGACAAAAATATAAAAATTACTGATAATAACGATATAACACCTATCTCTAGACCTGTGCGAATAAAAAAAAACCTGTTTATTTAAAAGACTATGTAACTTAAAATATAAAATAAATGTTAAATTGCATAAACTAAATTAAATATTAAAACGCTTATATTAAAACGCTAAAAATATAACAATCTTATTGATTTATCATTCTTCATTTATTCTTATGACGAACTATTATTTCTTATTCGCAACTTATTTATTATAATAACAATTTTGGAAAAATGATAATAACAATTGAGTACTATCAAACAAGCTATGATTAATGGAGACAATTTACGATAGCTTGCGATTTAAACAAACCAACGTGCAAAATCGATTTATACAAACCAACGATTGGACAAGCCAACGTTATGATGATTTGTGATACAACTTGATTACCAAAATTATAAACCACTTGAACAACAAACTCTCTATGACTTCTCCGATGAAATTATCAGAAGAGGGAGAATGTTGCGTTATTCCTTTATCTTATTTTTTGTTTTGTGCATTTGAACTTTTATTATTTTTGTTATAATCTAATTTTATTTTATAAACGGCGTAACCTTACTTTTTTAATATTATTTTACTTTTTTGTATTTCGTTTTATATTCTAATTTATATTTTAGAAAAGGTATTTATACCTTAAGAAAAGAAAAAAGAAGTTAGTTAATAATATATTTTTTATTTAATAAAGTTAATAAAACTTATTTATTATTCACCGGCACATATTCATGTTATTCTACAGATTCACAAAAATGTATATTGACTTTATTTATTGTTAATAGTAAATTATATATTCTAAGGTATGATGATATCTATTGCCATCTTTTCAGTAATGTTATATAACATTTTTTTAAATTTTGGTCACTCCAAGTAATTATAGTTGTTTATTTTTGATATATAAATTAAAAATAAGATGGCAATGAATTAGGAAATTTAGAATGATTGAGAAAATAATAAATATAAAGAAATACATTTTATATTATATTGTATGTCTTATTTTAAAGGTTAGTTGGAAACATTAAAGTCCTTACCTTGTGATAACTTATTCTATAAAATTGACACACAACAATCTCCCTAGCAAGCTTCAAATTTACAACAATTGCTCATTTTTTATATAAATTTTTTTATTAAATTTATGTTGAAATTTATAAATTATATCTTTTGATAATATTTTTTTAATAAATGAGCTCCCATAATCTTCTTTAATTCACCTAAATTAATATAATTTTAAAAACTTATGAACCATTTGGAAAATATTTATACCAATTTCTAAAAGACTTCTTGAGATTTTCTTATGGTTCTTCGGGGTTTCTAGAATTACTTCAAACTAATCAAATTATGTATTTTGGCAAAATTTTTGCCATTAAAATATTCATTATGAATTTTAACATTTTATTAAATCTTATAAGGTGGCTATTTTTTTTATTTAAAAAAATGATATTCATGTTATATACTAAATTTTTAATATAGACATTTTTGAGTTGATGATTTAAAAAAAAAGATTAATTCAGATTTTAAAAAAAATTTCAAATTTTTTTTTAGAATTTGGGAAAAATTGTACAAGCAATACAAATTAATCTAAAGTAAACATAATAATTGGTGTGATTATGATGTTGTAATAAAATGTATATAAAAATGGTATGATTAAAAAAGATATCTTTATTCTATTTATTTATTTATAATATGCTTAAAATAGGATAAATAAAAAGAAATATGCATAAAAACTAGACAAATACAATCAACTAAAATACTTTTAGTAAAATTATCAACATTTGTGATTAATCTTCAAAATCAATAACATTAACAATGGGATCCAGAATAGTTAATATAAATTTTTTTATATTTCCATCATCATATTTAAATAGTGGATACATTTGCTAGCAAAATGAAGCTCCATAGTTAGCATACACCATAATCGGGGTAGAAATGTGGCAACACTTTGCATCATTGCACATTCAGCATTCTTATTTACCTTTTCTATTATATACTGTTGCACATCATCTTCACATGTATTTTGACCCTAAGCATAATCTAATATATTTTTTTTGCAGCATCAGCAAGACCATATGTGATCTAATTGTTATATATTCAAATTTGTACTGTTATTTCATTTTTGCTTTTTGACTTACAATTCAAATTTATATATTATTACTTTTGTTTTTCGTTTTGATTATATGTATTCTAATTTATATTTTTAGATAATATATATATAGTATGAACATTTTTAAAATAATTATTAATAATAAATAAAATATATTTTTTTGTTTTCGTTTTTTCTCTACACATAAAATCTCTTCACTAATCAAACCATAGGAGTCTTGTTTTCCTGTAATCTCTACTTATAGATCTAATTATTTTTTAAAAAAAATTAAATGTTACTATCTAAGAAAAAATCAATCATGCTTTAAAAAAAAATAATGTTCTGAATTAATAAAGGATATATTCATTAAAATTTAAGGTAAAGAAAGAAACAAAATCATATCCTATTAATATTAGTATAAAAAAATACAACTATAATTTATAAAATATTAACCTATATAATCAGGCAAATTTTTTTATGATTTTTAAATTACCAGTAAAAATAATTCCCATCTGGTTCAATTGTTTCCATCTTTGATGGAACAGTTAGCACCCTTCCTATATTTAGGGGGACTGTCTTTTTACTGACACTAAATTTTAAAAGCATATTTTCTCTAAATATTGGTAGTTGGATTATAAAAATGTTTAAATGTATGTTGAATGATTTTAATGAATGTGTCATCTATGGCTTTAAATATTTTAAAAAAGTAAATTAATCATGATTTTTAAGAATTACAATTAACTGTAAATAATTACAATTTTTTAACTTTGAGTCTGAGTGTACAAAGTCTACCTCTACTAGGTCACTTGAAAATCCTTCAAATAGTGTAAAGAAGATTTTTTTATCATCTAATTAAAAAGGTTTATAAATTTGTCTATATCAATAATATACCTTTGGTAAGAACTAAGAACTATTGCGAACATCATCAAAAAATATTGGGCATTTAATTTCGTTTATTTAACTTCGTAACTTTTTATAAAATGGGAAAATAAATAAGATAAAATATAACTTTTATTTCTTGCTAATACGCCATTTGGCGTAAGTCTATCATCTCCCCAATTCTAGACGATTTGTAAGATGGGAATCCATATGCAATTCTAACAGATGCATCTAATGAGGGAAATATTAAAACATTTCCCTCGATCCTTCGCTATTTCAACAAGAATAAGTACATTTCAATATAACTGTTAAAAATTTTTCCTCTGATAGTGAAAAATCCAACAATGTAGCTAGCCACATAATGGTAAATATAGGTGATTCAGGGTTATCAATGATTTGCATGTTAGATCTCTGCGCTGATAATACCTTTGTAAATTTGGGCAAAAACCAAAGTTACCGAATTGAGGTAGCACAATAATGAATTATCACCAATTGGCTGTATATGCCATATACTACATAATTCTTGCAAGAAGGCAGAATGTACTATCTGTGGATATCGAAATAATTGTAATGAAATGTTTTAACGAATTTAGTTCATCAACTAAAAGAGTTAATGAATTAAAAGAGTTGGTGAAGTGGTCTGACTTGGAATGGTATAAGTTGTTGCGATATATACCTATCAGGTGGTTGTCATTAATACCTGCCATCGATAGAATTTTAAAATTTTACAAACACTTAAAAAATACTTCTTAAATAGAGATTTTAAAAGCTGTCCTAAAATTTTGAAAATTTTTTATTTAGGATTCGTTTTACATGTAGGAAATCTACTTCATGGAGTTAATATTCAGTTGCAATCAGAATATTCTTTATTAAAAAAGATTCACAAAATCATGCTACAGCTCTGTTCATCTCTACAGTTAAAATTGATAATAAATTTTATGGTGCTCTTGCTAAATATATTATATTAAAATGTTCAAATAATACTTAATTAATACATTTTTAAATGAAGCAGATATTTTTATTAAGACAATTTTAGAATATTTACAATCAAAATTTGATTCTAATAACTCTATTTACAATTGTATAAATATTATGACCTTGGAACAGAAACCATCAATTGATGGTTTTTATAATTTAATAAATATATTAAAAATATCGAAAGACATTGATATCTTTTTTTGAGGAGATTGTAATTCTGTCTATTTTTTATGATTCGCCAAAATACTTAGTTAGATGGTCTAAAAGCAGATGAGAAATGGATAGAATTTTTTCGTAATAACGATAAATCCCATGCTTGGAAAAAATATGCTAGTATGTCTTCTCCTAACCTCATTCTAATACCTCATCCGAGCGCATTTTTAGCCTGATGAGGACTGCCTGGAAAAAGGAGAGAAATCGGATTGCTTTAACAACATTATATGCCGAGCTAATGGTTAAACAAATATATATGTCATGCCAAGGAATTTTATAAATATCTCAATAACAACCGTAAACATTTAGTTCTATTATTTAAATTTCAAATAAAATATAATTAAGTTTTAGCAATGGCGCCATAAAATTTATTATCAATTTTTAACTGTAAAGATGAACAGATCTGAAGCATAATTTTATGAATCTTTGTTAAGATTCTTCTGATTGCAACTACACATTAACAGCATGTAGTAGATTTCCTACATGTGAAATCATTCATAAATATATCTCTGCCATTCATTATTGAAAAATTTTTTCAAAATGTTAGGACCACTTTTATAAGCTTTATTTAAGAAATATTTTTTAAAGGTTTATAAAATTTTAAAATTCTATCTTTGGCCTGTATTAGGAACATATCGCAACCAACATTGTGCTGACTCAATTCTGAAATACACTGTTTTACCAAATTCACTGAGGCATTACCAGATCAGAAAGCTGACATGAAATTTATTGATAATCTCGAATCTACTATATTTACCATTATATGGTTAGCTATGTTTTTGGATTTTTCCCTATTTTAGGGGGAAAAATTTAATAGTTGTATTGAAACGACCTTAATTTTGTTGAAATAGCGGAGGATGAAGGATTAAATGCATTTGTTAGAATTGCATATGTATGCCCATCTTTCAAAACGTCAAGAATTGACCTCCTGGATTTAGGTCCTAAAATATTGATAGCCTTGCTCATTTTTGTTCTACAAGTATAGTTTTCATTTATATTAGAGTCGTTAAATATTATGGGAAAAAGAATGTACCAACATTGTGATGATAAGTATCTCTTTGAATGTTGTACTACAAGATAAGTGATTACAATTGCCGCAACTGTAGTTGCATCTGTATTATTTCTTATTTTTATAGTACCTTATATGTATTTAAACGTGATTAGTGATAATTAAGCGCCTATCCCTATAATGTTATACACACACACGGTAGATTTCCAATTGCGGTCGTTTTGCGGGACATTCGCATAAATTATATTTTTAATTGTAAAATTAAAATTGTTTTTTTTTATAAAATTTTATCTTGTTTACATTCTTGTATATTTAAAAAAGATCGTTGTTTTTTTTTATAAATTAATATATTTTAATAAATCAAGATGTTATTTTATTTTGAAAAATAGTTACCGACTTTGTATTTATATAAACTAATTGTAAAAAAAATAATAGGTGGATAACTTAATCAACAAAATCCTGGCCGAAAGCCGTTGCGGTCTTTCGGCCCGCAAAAATTTTTTTTTAGCAATTTTTATATTTCTACCACAATTTTCGTATTTCTCCCGCATAATACCAATTTTCTCCTGCAATTTGAAACTTTTGACCTGGCAACCCTGATCACATGGCCTTAAATATACAAAGGGAAACAGTACACAAAGTACAAATCACTATGGTACTATAAAACTATGGAATTATATATCAACATGAAACAATTTATAAAACTAAATAACTTTAAGATCTCTGTCAAAAATAATATTTCGTATTAAAGAGAGATACTTTAAATGAAAGACAAATATCCATATTTTCGCTCAATCAAAATACAAATAACAATAATATATCATCAATTACATCTCTAATAGATTATACTAATTAAGAAAAGTTATTATAAAAATATGTAATTTAAGGGATATGATATTTTAAATTCTTTTTTGATAGGTATAAATAAATCCTTCAATATATTAAATATTCAAATACATTCAAAATTGATTTGGAATCATTTAAAACTCACACAAAGAAATCTTAAACTTTAAATATTCTACACCTCACCATTAGTAATTAAATTATACTATAGTTCTTGGGTATAAACTTTCTTTGCCTTGCTCTCAGAAGTTTATGCAAAATTTTTCCAACTGTTTGTGCTAAAAGGACATGCAGCTTGCCCACAAACGTGTGGAGAGCTCTTCATTTTTATTTTTCAACCAAAATTTTGCTCCATGGAAATGAGGAATACCTAGTGTAGCTCTGATGAATCTTCAACGTCAAAGAGCAAAAGCGTTAATAAATCCCTTAATTACTTATAAACAACCGACAAAATTTTTGCAATAGAAATCACATTCGGTATCTTAAATTGATTACATCTGATAAAATTTCACTAATCTCTGCTGTAGAGTAATTCAGAAGAAACAGTGAAAAATTAGGAATCTTGTTAATATCTCTTAGAAAATTGTAAATTGATATTAATAGATGCTAGTATCTATTTAAATTAAATTTATAAAAAAATCTGCAAATAAGAATATTTCGTCTATTTTTTTAAAAACAATTTAAATAGATATTTTTGCTTCCCTATCCCTAGCATCTATTAATATTTCAAATTTATTTAAAAAATTTTATAGGTGATATAAGCGAGATTCCCAATTTTTCGCTATATCGTGCTCTTACAACATAATCGAATAATAAAATATAAGATTTATGGAAATCAAAACAACCCCCAAAATACCAAAAAATTCATCACAATATTCAACAAATTGGAAGTGCTTGTTAAAGGTTACTTATAAGTATATAATTTTAATTAAGTACATTTATAGAAAATTGAGAAAAATAGAAATCCTAGAACCATCAGAAAAAAATTTAAATCTAATAATCAACATTTTTTAGATAAGAAAGTTTTAAATACAGATTCTCATTTGTTAAAGTAAATACTCATTAAATAATATTTAATGATTTAACTGAAGTACTAAATATATAGCAATAGATTGTGAATTTGTGGGAACTGGATATAATGGACAAGAAAATCATTTAGCCAGAGTGTCAATTGTTAATAAAAATGGTCAATGTATTTATGATACATTTGTAAAACCTAGAGAAAAAATTACAGATTTCCGATATGATATAACTGGAATGACATATAAGGATATGAATGAAGGTTAACAATTTTGAATTTATCATTTAGGATTAATTTAGGTAAATCCTTTAAAGTTGTACAAAAAGATGTGGCAGATATATTAAAGGATAAAATATTAGTGGGCCATGCACTGAAGAATGACCTAAAAGTTTTATACCTAACTCATCCCAGAAGCAAAATACGTGACACTTCAAAACATAAATTCTTTTGTCAAGCAGTCAAGACAAAATATCCTTCTTTAAAAAAATTAGCAAAAATTTTTCTAGATACAAATATTCAAAATGGGATACATAATCCAGTAATTTTTTTCTAAAATTTATTTGCTCTATCTTTATAAACATTTTAATTACAATGACCATATTAACTAGTTATAGAGTTATGCTAATACTTAATTTTGTAAAATTTGTGAGTAAAAAATCTTTATAACCTTAAAGTTAAGGCAATTTTATTTCATGTATTTCAAAATTTTCATGTACCGGTCACTATATTTTTTGTCAGATATTAGCATCTTAAAATTAGGATATTTAAATGGTTTGATTTAAGCTAATATTTAAAAATAGTTAACTCAATAATTAAAAGTAAAAATTATTGCATAAGCTTCAAAATTTCAGTAATTGAACAAAATCTTCATTTCATAAAATATTAAATTAACTATTTTAAAAAATTCACTTAAATCAAACCATTTAATAACACTACATATGTCTAACCAAATTTTGATGAATATTCATCATAAAATTTTGCTTAGAAAGTGGAGTATTAGAAGATCAGGCAATAATTAATCATCTCTTAACCTTTTCGTGCCCAAAATATCCCGTGAACAAAAAATTTTTTTTTCTTAAACTGAGTTAAACAAGACACAAATAACACATTTTCAACTTTTTTTATTTAAAAAAGTATATATATAGAATTATTTAATGTTACCAATTGTCATCATTGGGATATTCATATGTAAAAAAATATAATTTATTTTGAATGATAAGAAATAAAACAATTGCGATTTTTATTTAAACATAAAGATATTTTACATTTTATACATTCAAATCTTGAATAACCATATTCGCAATACTTGCATCTGTGTCTACTAGCCGCTGATGGCCAATGCCCTGTTTTATCTAATCTGGGATTGGATGAAAACTATTCAACTTCCTTCCTTTTTTTCAATCTTCAACGTAGGTCTACCTTCTTTTCCATCATTTTCCTTTCCAACCATCATCAATCCTTTAGCTATCTGAGTTTTAAATACTAAAAGGGATACATGTTAACTATTTTTCTGTTTCATGTGGCGTCTATAGAGCAACCATGAATTCACTACACAGGAATCTAATAAATGAAAGAAAACTCGCATGTAAAAACGCTTCCATTTTATGTCAGTTCTGTAGAGTTCAATTAGCATATCATGGAGATCCACCCCGCTTATACCCGTAATAGTCTTGAAATATGGCTGGAATTTTGACATTGATAAAAGATTTATCAGACACTGACCATCTTCTCGTTCGTGATATGGGATGTATACCCATAAATGATGATATGGTGATAACCGATTTGTTATCAAACCATTTGCAAATTATAATATCATTAGAATCCACTTTATAATCATAGACCCTCTTCCTTTTTCCTTTAAGATTTTATCATCAACCAGATGACATTTCGATAATCGATTAGATCTAAGGGTCCCCGATATGATAAACCCATTATCTTTGAGCGCAGCTGCTAAATTATATGAAGAAAAAAAGTTATCCATGTAAATTTTATGATTTTTATGTGGGGGAACAGTTTCTAATAGTCGTATAACAATATCTCCACTAATTCCCATCAAAGTTTTTTTTATATTTGTGGATTTTCTTAAATATATTTCGAAATCATATAGCATTCCAGACGATCCACATAAAGCGAAAATTTAATTCCCCATTTATGCGGTTTTGTGCTAATTTATTTAAATTTATCTCCCTCTGGTATAATATACATTGAGGTCATCTAAAAATTATTTATAAAAATTTTAAAAAAAAGTGTTATAAAAACAATTCCCACTTTCTTAACTTTTTGCAAATATTATATTGACTTTATAAATGGAAAATAACATATATTTAATTCTTACTATATCATATTTTCAATATCTAATTATAAAAAATTTGTGAAAAAAATTACATTATAAAATCCCAATGTTACCAATTTGGATTTCCTTCAAAAAATCATATAAATAATAGTTATTGTTAAATTTTTTTTACTAAATTTGAAATACTAGTAATAATCTATTATAAAAACATTATATAACTTTGATTTATATAGAATGGTTATCGATGTAAAAGAGTAAAAATTTAGGCGCGTAAAATACCTAACTTTGAACTTGTATTTTGATATAATAAAATAATGATTTTGTCAGGTTAATGATAAAATACGAAATAATAAATATTAATTTGTAAATTCATGTGTCTAAGTAGCAACCCATTAGATTTTTAAATATAAAAATTAATTGATTAAAAATTTTGATGACAAATGATCTCGCTGCGCGCTAAAAGGGTTAAGATATATAATCCATTTTTTTTTAAAGTTGAATATTTTATAAGTTTTCTTAATATTGAACATATCTCTTTGTTACCTTCTTGATTCTTGCTAGCTTAAGGTTTTTTGATTTGATATTTAAAATACTTTATAAATTATATTGACCAAAAGTTCAATAATTAAATATATCTTATTATCATAGAAAGATTTATATTTTATTAAATGACTTTCAACATGTGGTATTTAATTTAAAATATTCCTTTTATAACTTATTAATCTTAAGATTGAAGATGCTAAGACAGCAATGATGCTATTTCTTTCAAGAAAAAAAGAATGGGAGAAAGAGTTACGTAATAAAAGATTTAAAAATAATATCAAGTCTTAGAACCACTCATAATCAGGAAAAAAAAATTAATATCTGAACAACTGACCATTAAAACTATTCCATTCATTTTTTTCGAAAATATGATAAAATTCGATATTATAAAATTATTATAATTTATATTGATATAAAATTTACAACATTTTATATTTCGCAAATATTTTCACAACAAAATTCATATTTTTAAAAAAAATATAAACTATAAGTAGAACCAAAAGTTATAATTGCCTTTGATTCTCAAGATCATCTTCGGTGTTTAATAAAACTTTTATTATGTCAGTCAGTTCTCTCAATTTGATATCATCTTTCCCGATTACCTTGTGGAGCGATTTATTGTCCCTGCGTTTTTTCACGTAATTTAAAATTTGAAATAAAAGAGGTTCTGTATCATCATTCTCTAGTAATCGAGTATTTAGAGTTAAATCTTGGTCATTTTCTATGGGACAACTATTAATTGTCGAAATATTATTATCACTTTTGGTTTTATTAAATGTAGAATATAATTGTTCTTGGGCGATATCATATAGCTGGACAGTAAGGTAAGACGCCTTTATAGCAGCGTTAGATGGTTTTAGTGAAATACTCTCAAGTTTTGTGTCCAGATTATCATAGCTTGTTGGCGTTTTACCCATATCTTTCAAGATATACAACAATATGTCGTCCACGTTGCCCCTGAGCGCGCAATATAAAACACAGGTGCCAAAATAACGGGTGGATCTTATGGTTTCCAATTTGGAGTGGAGGATTAGGTGATCGAAGACTCTGAACATGTGTTTAAGGTAGTCCGGATGGTCAGGTTCGAATTGGACTATGATTCTGTTTAGTACGAATATATGTCTACCCTTTTCCAGGGCGTCCTATGTAAAATAAAATAAAGAGGAAAAATATATATGATTTGCAAAGAATCAAGACAACTCGAATTTTCCAAAATATCTTATACGCCTAAATTTTAGTGGTCCTGCCACCTAAACTGGCATGGAAACTTTTGAAAGGGTTCATTTAAAGATATTTTTCACAAGTTGTCTGACCCGAAAATTCCCTCCCCAATATGCAGGAAATTTTTATTCAAAATATAATTACACTTTTCTTATTAGATGATACTTTATTTTAAAATGGGATATATGCACTATTGAATTAAAACACAAATAAGGATATATTAAAAAATAAAATTAAAAAAAAAATATATATAAATCTATAAAGAAAAACCAAAAAGAACTAAGAGAAAAAAAATATTTAAAAAAGGGTACATATCACCCTAGATAAGAGTGAATATTTAAAAAATTGAAAACGAAGGTAAAATTTTTCATTGGGGTCCCCTGAGACCTCTCATTTTTTTCCTATGATCTTTAATGAAATTGAGAGCCTCACTTCCAAACATGCCTAGGGTCTTGGTAACGATTTTGAACACAGTGTTGGTGAGGCCAGCGTATTTGTTTTTTTAGGATTTAAGTTTTTCGATGGCAGAATATGAGAGGTTGGACTTTGCTGCAAAATTTTACACATTTTTATAAAGTAAAATTTACTAATTGCTATTCTTATAATAGATTAATTCGAGTTATCATTTTATTCAGATAAAGGAAGTGAAAACATCATTGTCTATGTTAGTTTTAAGGCCGAGCTTAAGACTCGCAAGGCTTTATGAAATCAATAATTCCATATTTTTTATGCCAATTTTCGATATAATGCTTAAGTTTGATTTTTAGGAGTAAAATAATATATATTTTTTAATGCGTGTTATCTTTGAGGGTGGGACATATTTATAATTTTTTTATTACTTATTGTCAAATAAGGATTATAAGGAATAGAAAAATTGAGAATTTTTAGTGCCAACCAAAACCAAAGTTTTATTGAAAAAAATAAAAACAAATTAGAAATCATCCTTAAAAATTTTAAGTTTTTATATCAACTCTTATTTATTTCTGGTTAATTATCACTGAAATTTTTATCTCAATTAAATAAGAATTCAAGTAAAAATAGTTTCTTTTATGGACGTTATTACTTCCTACCTAATTATATTACCAAAATTATAAATTAGATATCAACCATTAATCGTTTTTCATAAAAAATTAAATAGATTTAAGAAAAGGGATTATAATTAATTATAACTATTAGCAGCGTTTACTTGACAGGATTTTCACTGGATGCAAAGCCCCTTCAAAAATCTGTGCCTACCCCCCTAAAATTTCCGCCGCCTTCGGCGACGGTGTCTCTCTATTATTATTTTCATTTTTTTAATTTATTGATACACTTTTCAGAGAATTAATAAAATAACTTAAATTAATCTATCTCTACTACCAACTATCGATATTTTGTGAATATAAAGAATTTATTTTTTAGATAATAAATTCAATTAAAAGCTCCATTATTTACAATAAATTATTAAGGCATTATGAGCTTGCTAAAATATCTAAACCTTTTAAATTACAAGGATAGCAGAAAGTTTTATGTGGAAAACAATGTGTATGATTGTTTGCAATATATAGATTTGGTCGATGAATTGTATTATAATAATAGTATTAATTTTTACAGCAATAAATTTTGTCCTATTTGATCTCAAAATTTAATAGATAACCCCCCATAAAATTTATCATACCTCCATTAAAGCAGCCTACCCTATCAAAAAAATAAGATGCAAACTGTTCCTACCCCTCCCACTCATGTAGACGCTGGCTATTAGTCACAAATGATGTGCCTAAAAAATTAATTCCTTCATTTTTAAAATGAAATTAATTAGATTTACTAATTACATTGGGTCTGTAATTATCGAGTTAATTATATATTTAAAAATTACTACTCAACCTTGTTTTACATATCTATAAAATATTAAAACCTGTTATAGTAGTTTAAATTGAAAATAACGAATAATGTTACACTTATTAAAAAGTAATGTGGCGCGTTTTATTTTTTTTAAAGTAACGAGTAAGTTAATTACCTTTTCCCCGACTATGATGTAAAAGTAACGACGTTAATAAAATTGAATAGTGTAAAATTAAAGAGGAAGTCAGAACTATTCTTAAATATTATATACCATCTATCTATACTCAACACTAATGTTAAAGTTTTTACGACTCCGAAATCTAGGTGGAATCGTAAAATAAGACTTTACTGAGTGGCTCAATGAACCAGATGCGTTTGTTACAAGTTGGCTTGATGAGTCGAAAATTTATCTTGAATCGGCCTGCTATTATTATTTCAATGAGGAAAATTTATAAAAATTTTAACCCCCCCCCCCCCCCCCCCATCGGTTTGGGTCAAATTAAATTTTTTAAAATTTGAAATTCAAGTATTTATGTGTAATGTTGTAGATATATGACTATACTATTATTACCCTATCCAAGAAATAATCACGCTGACTCATATTGCTTGTTTAACCACATATTCTGAATTTGACTAAAATAGCTAAATCAACCTCTTAGCCATTTAACAAACACCATGTCGACGCCAAAAAAATGATATCATCATTTTACAACAACAACACTATGTCGACACCAAAAAATGTTCTCATAAGAATCTATGAGCTACAGAAAAATTACTACTTTCTGCCTAAATTTAAAAAATAAGTATATTATTGTAAATAAATTATAGAAAACAAATCTTGCAATATACAATAAGTTATAAAAAATAAGTGTTAATTTTATTCATGCAGAGGATCTTTGCACTTGAGTTTGCTTTTCTCATAATATATTTGTAATCCATTTTTAATGTTTATACTATATAATTGAGTCCCTTTTGTTATCTTTAAACTCTTATTTACCATTGGTGTTAGATATTTTATGTGTAAACTATGGATCTGCAGGGCCTGGCCCTTTAAGAATTTTTGCACAGCCCAGTAAATTACATTTCATTTTAATTTGTCTAGCATGGTCTATTAAAATTATTTAAAAATTTTTTGGCCATCACATTTTAATATCTAATTATTTTTCAGGGTAAATTAAGGCTCTTATAACTAGTGTTGTTAAATGGCTTGTTTTGAGCTGATTTTTAAAAACGGCTAATTCAATATTTTATCCAAAAAAATATTATGTAAGCCTCAAGATTTTGCTCATAAAGTGGCAAAAAGGTTTGAAAAGAAATCTCAAGGTTAAGATAATATATCTCTGCTAAAATAATGAGTTAGCCATTTTTAATAATCGACTCAAATCCAGCCATTTAACAACACTACTTATAACTCTTCTATGTTTATGTATTTCTACAAAAATAATATTATAAATTTATTCTGTTTGATATCTGTATTGTCTATGTGTAATTGAATTATATTATAAATAACTTGTTAATTATGAATTTACTATACTATTTATAGATTCAATATTATATTTAGACACCACTTAAAATACAAATAATTAAGCATATTGCAATTTATTTTAAAATAGTATTAATCAAAATATTAGTTTAAAAATGTATTTAATGCCTAGACTACCCTATTAAAATTTATAAAAAATCAAAAATTTGTGAGGCCTTGCCTGATTTTTTTGGTATAAATTGTTCAGCCTGAACTTAAAAAAAATTATGCACAATTACTTAGCCCACTTATTTTTTTAAATTTGCCTGACCCATTGCAACATCAAACTAGTGTTGTTAATGTTTTGAGCCAATTTTTAAAAATGGCTAACTCAATATTTTAGCCAGAAAAATATTGCCTAAGCCTCAAGATTTCGCTAATAGATGTCCAAACCTTTGTTTCTTCTACAAGCAAAATCTTCAGGCTTGCGTAATACTATTTTGGATGAAATATTGAATTAGCCGTTTTTAGAAATCGGCTCAAAACAAGTCGTTTAACAACACTCCATCAAACAGCAACCTAATTCAGATTATCAAAAAAAAAGAGTAATAGCATGAGCTACACAATATATCACCATGATGGTAAAAGGAAGTTTGGAAGAAAACAATATAAGAATCCTGTTAAATAAATAGGCACTAAAAATAAATTACATATATATATATATCACAGAAACAAAGTAAGTCCTAAGACCCCTAAGCAAAAATCAACATTATTTTTTTAATTATATAATAATAGACCCAGTAGCTCATATTATATGGGAATCATTTAATTTACCTTTTCTGACTAGATATGACTTCCAATTATTTGTAACCATAATGAAGAATAAAATTATTAAAATCTATAACTTTAAGCCTAATGCATATTTTACTTTTCAAATAAATTTTAAAAAATATTAAGAGGGCTAGTTGGATTAAATGAAATAAGATTAGGCTGACCATAATATTTTAAAATAAAATGTCTATAAAAAAATATCTAAAAATTATAGATATAATAAAAATCTTAAACAATTTAAATGTTATGATAGCATTGGCACAGGTATTATATTATCTCATAAAAATAAATATATAAACTTGAAAATATTCTTCATCAAACATTTTGGGTACTCTCAATTCTCTTTTTTCTTTTGGAAAATAAATTTGATTCATGTGATCTCTTTCCTTAGTTAAATATATAAGGTATCTATATTGAAATAAACTTATACTCACTTCCCATGTTGCTTTTCTCAGGATACCATTAGGTTCTCTAACCACAATAAATCTTTCTCTATCATTAATTCCAAAGGTAATATCTGTAAAAACATAATTTGCAGTGTCAAAATCTTTAATTTGAATATTTTCTTCTAAAATCCCCTTTTAACTTTAAATAGAATTAATAACTTAATGTAATATTTACTTTTATGGGTTTTCGTGGGGCTAATATTGGTGGTGATTGTAATTTATGTAGGGCTCTAACTTTAGCATCATCAATTAATGGCGCTAATTCTTCATTTGTCATTAGTTTAATTGTTGATAATTCAACCTTCTGTTTTATAGGTTGAAAGACTTTGCTTACATCTAGAATTTCTTTGTTAATATTTAGTATGATGTTTTGAACATTCGATGATAAAAATATTTCCCCAATATCAATATTTTCAAATAAAGGAATAAAATCTTTAAGTTTAAATTCATTTGCAACAAGTTGTGACAGACAAATGACATTATTATAATGATAATACTTATTTGATAATGAACGAAATTTGAAAAAATATTTCAGCATGATATTATGAATGAATGTTAAAAGATTTCAGTAAATTTATCTAAAATATGTGAGCAAATACTATTTATATTTTTAATAAAGAAGAGATGTATTGGCCTTGGGTGGCTATGTTTTTGCAATAAAGAATATACATACATGAGATAATTTTTGCTTCTTGATTATATTATAAAAGTTCTATATATTCTCATCATTGTTAAAATTAAGAATTTACCTGTTATTTTTAAAAATAATTTACTTATAAATTTAATATGGTTTTTTTGGATACTTATTTTGTAGGATTAATTGATAGTAGAGTATAAACTTTGAATGGAAGTGGATATCTAAAAACTATAATACACTCATTATTTATATAGCATTTCATTGCGAATCATAAAATAATTATCCTCAAATAGAATTTTATGCTTATATATTTCAGAGCAGGGACAAAGATCCTGGTTTAATAATTATTTCCAGTTCACTTTCCCGGAAAGATCTTTCCATGTCCATGGTGTATTTCTTTTGAATTTAAAACAGACACTTTCTTCCAACTATCCATTATTGTACTTTTTCCCCCACATTGCATTTATTTATGAGTTATTTAGGCATTCTACAAATCATGTAATTTACTGATACATATTTTCATATCTGCATAAATAAAATATATCAATTATTATATGATTTAATAATTTTTTAAAGCTAAGATACATATATATATATATACATACTAGAATTTTTAATGTAAATTAATATATGGTTGGTGTAATCTAGAATGTTTTATTAATAATTTATTTGAAATCTAATAATCTATTTAAATTATCTACTATATTACCTTGTTAATAAATTAAAATAATTATTAAATAAAAATTGCTAGCATCTATGAATTATTGCACTAAAATTTAATTTTCTGGCATCCCCTTCCCTTCTCCTAATATCTTTTACTTATGGGTTTAAAATATCCTATGTCTTAATGGCTATCATTACTATATTAAATATAAGATTGACATTATTTTATGATTAATTAATAATAATTCCTTAATATCTTTTTATTCCATGTATTATATTATAATTTAATCAAGTTCCATAAATAAAAGATGTATATATATATATATACACTAATTCCTAATTAATTTTTTTTAATTGTAATGATTTTTTTAAATAATATTTCATATAATTGTTGATATTAAAATTTATATTTTATAAAAATAGTTAATTATGATCTAAAATCTTTAATAGCCATATTAAATTTATTTTATAGTTTATCAGACCGGCAGGACTGGGTACATAGGCTGGGCTATATTTTAATATTTTTAATATACCTGGGCTGGGCCCTAAAAATTTGATTTTTAAATACCCAGACTAGGCTAAAAATTATTTTTAACCAAATATTTTAAATCACCATTATTATCTATAAAAATTAATAATAAATTTTAAGAAATAAACCAGGCCTGAAATTTTTTTAAAAAAAACTGGGTTGGGCTGGGCTGGGTCTAAAAATATAAAACTTAAATCTGGACTTAATCATGCAAATGATACATATACCGGTATATGGGAATTTATATACTAAATTTGTTTGTTCTATTTTATATAAGTCATTTTTACAATCTATGATTTTTTAAAAAGTTTGTTAAATCTTATTTCAAATTAATATAAAAATATAATGATTAATAGAAATGGAAATATTACAGCTTGAAATGTGAGTTTGGCATACCTCATTGAGAATTTATACCCCCCCCCCCCTTATGAATTTAAGGATTATATTTATAAAACAAGGGTCCTAAACATTCCAGGAGCACTATTTTCAAGAAATTAGAGTTGGTTGGGAATATTTTATAAAAAAAATGGCAGAGATTCTAATATTTTTTGTCCTTATGAAATAAAATCCAGTATATTAGTATACATCAAATATCATTTTTAATTTCAAATAACTTAATAGAGGTTTCTACTAATATACTGAACTGGTATATAGATCAGAGCAAAAAAAATGTCCCTGCACTTTTCTTCCAAAGTTCATAAGATATAAATACCTACTCTTGGTTTCTGCTCCTTCAATCAAATTTTTTAATCTCAGAAAATTTTTTGCAACTTTCTATTAACTCACTTTTATAGACAGAGTGATTTTTTTTTATCATTTATAATTCTTTCCAGGAAAAAAAAACACTGTAAAAGCAGTGCTTGCATGGAAAATGCTAATTCTTTAGTTACTCTAACCAATATTTTTATATCTTCAGTCATAATTCAATTCCAAAATATATAGATATATTTTGCCTAATATACAAATAACCAAATCTTTATTTTTTTTAACATATTTTAATCCAAAATTAAAATTATTTAAATTTCTATTTTCTTAAGTAAAGTTAGCAAGGGTGAAAATAAGATTAACGAAATATAGAATAGGGGATAAAAATATCAGGATATTTTTTTCACAATATAGTACACTTAACGCTAGACCCATTTTATCACTACAAAATGTTGTATTTTTTTTTACATTTGAAAAAAATATTTTAAAATTAGCTTATTTTTTTAACAAGAGTTGTTTAATTAATTAAATATTTCTATTGTTAAAATTTTTTAATGAATAAAATAATATATTTTTTTGTTTAAATCATGTCTTAATATTATAACACATAAACAATCAATTCTATACCTTATGAATTGAAACTATTATTACTCTTGAAATGTTGTTTAATATTTTAACGAAAACGGATATAAATTATGTATAATATAGAATTTGTTAATTTCTCTTACAAATTTATATATGTTTTAATTGAATATATTCCCTGTGGCATTTATAAATAGATATATAGAGCAAAATAAAAGGCTATTCCAATTTAATATAACCTAATATTATATTTTATATAATTAGGTTGCTACATCCTAGCATTCTACTTTGAGTTTTTTTTTTCATTGGCGGCCTAAAATTGTAATGCAAAGAGTAGTTATGATTACCAGATCACAAATTTAACTCTAGGTTCAGGGCCTCCTTAGTATTTCCATAAAATTTTGAGTTAACCTCGGAAGTTCTAAAGAGAAATTATATTGAAAAATTGTTCCTTATAAATATAAAATCTTAACGAAAACATTTAAAAGGCCCATTTTTTAAAGCCTAAAAAAATAGCGTTTTATTATATTAATTACAATTTGGTTTATGACAGTCTGATCATTATAAAGTTCGTCTTGGAATATTTATTTTTTAAACCCGGTTCAACGTAAAAATATAAATTTTTAAAAATTTATCACTATAAATAAATATAAAAAAAATTGCTTACTAGTTATTCCTAGAGAATATTCCAGCTATTTTTTTAAAACGATTATTACTTATTTTGTACATCTAAAGTGTGTTCAGAACTGGGCAGTACCTTTGAATTGCTTAATCGGCTAAAAATCGCCTAAAGTCTAATTAGACTTAGCCTAAAAAAATTGGCTAATACTAAAACTAATTAAACGTAGTCTAAGGAATTCGGCTAATCGTCCGTCAGCTTTACATAACACTAATCCTAGCCTAAATTATTATTTACTATGTGACGCTATAGTAATACTGACGGACGATTAGGCGATAGTTTATCTATAATCTTTCTAAATATAATATTATTGTAAAATCAAATAAAATAGGAATGATGCACAAACTGCACGGGGTAATACCGAAAGTTACAAATTTTATAAGTTAAAGCATAATAGATTATTAATTTTTATTTATAGCACAATGCATCATTCCGGGTCAATTTTTTTTAACCCCCCTTATCTTATAATAAATATTACATTTATCTTTTTCGATAATAGAGAGATAATCGAATTAACAAATGAATGATTTAGTTTTACAAATTTCCTATTCGCGAATTAAAGAATGGGAAAATAATCGAGTGAGACAGTGAAGTGTGAAAGATATGAAATACGATGGAGAAAGAAAGGAAAGGAATGAAAAAAAAAAGAAAGAAAGGATATGTTAAATAAGATAATTGAATCATTTAAAACAATAGATTTTTTTAAAAATTGATTCTCTTTATAATAAAAGTTTAAAAAGTTGAATTTTATTTTTATTTTATTCCAACAAAACGCATAATAATTAAATTCGTTCATTTTTATTTTTCTTCCCAAGACAAATAGCTTTGACCTATAGTTGTAAGTGAAAAATAAAATTATTTAGAAGAATGAAAATTTTTTTGGTTAAACGTTATTATAAAAATATTTATTTTTACAATGAAATTTATAATGGGACGGGAAAATAAATTTTTTGATTGTTATTTTTAAGTGTAATTATGATGTTTTTACCATCGTCTTTCCTTGAGGACCGTTATCTGAGCCACTTAGAAAATTTATTATTAATTCTTTCCAATACCCCTCGAGAAATTTATCTGGATCTTAAACGATTTCTTCCTAGTTTTTACCAAATAGGATGGATTGGCAAAATTAATAATTTTTTATGCAATGAAAAAATTGTTTTATTTGATTAAATCACAATTATTTAAATTATATAGATTAATGTTAAACGGCTCAATTTGAATATATTTTAAAAAACGGCTAACTTTATATTTCACCCAGTATAAAAATATTGTATATAAGCCTCAAAATTCCGCTAATATATGTCCAAACCTTTGTGCCATCTTATGAGCAAAACTTTTAAGTTTGCGTAATAATTTTTCTGGATAAAATATTGAGTTGGCCGTTTTTAAAAATCAGCCCAAATCGAGCCGTTCAACAAGACTAATTTAAATCATATTTAATTATAAAATAATGAGCTTAAAAATGTGACCTTGAGGAATATTATAACTCCTGATGCAAAATTATTAATTGGACATGTATTTATTCTTAGGCATCGGAATCTCTTATGGAATTAAAATAATTTTATTAATGCAATCTGATTCGGTGTTATTTCTTACAGGAAATTTATTCCAGCATGTTTCTTTTCTGTTATTTTTAGAAAATTTTGTCTACAACTTTCGAACTCATTATGATTTGTAATATTTTTTTCATACATTTTTTATATAAAATTACACCCAAAAGTTATCGGCAAATTGTCTCAAATTCATAAAAATAGATATTTGTGGTAACATCAAATTTAAAAAAATTTACTCATAAATAATCTTTAGTTTAAAGGATAACATTTTGACTGAAAATAAACATAGACGCAAATAGTATTGTTAAGTGTCTCGATTTTAGTCAATTTTTAAAACTGCTAACTCAATATTTTATCCAGAAATATACGAACCAAGATTTGCTATAGATGGCACACAAGTTTGGACATCTCACGAAATCTCGAGAATTGGGCGCGTTTTTTCTGGCTAAAATATTTAGCCGTTTTTAAAAGTCGGCTCGAATCGAGCCATTTAACAACATTAGATGCATGTATAATCTATAATTTAATTTTAATATTAACAATATGATTATCTTAAATTAACACTTTCGGCATCTGAGTTAATCTTAGTGTCAACAACATCGACAAATATTAAATTAATATTTTTACTATAATGGGATTGAAATAATTTATGGAGATTTTTTTTATGTCTTCTTAAATATTTTAAAATGATAAAAAAGTTTATATGACAACAAACCATTTATGATGATAAAATTTAGCAAATAACTTATTGATAACATATTGTAAAATGAGCTAAAATAAACTCCTTTTATTATTTGAAAACATAAACTAATAATTATTTAAAAAATACAAGTAAAAAGTGAATTGATTTAAATTACGATTTAAATTCAATTTGATTTAATCATGCCAACCCTAACCACAAACCTATTATTTGGGAACCATTTACTTTTTATCGTTTTTTTGATATACCCGGGTTTAAACAAAAATATTCAAATGAGTAGATGAAGATTTTTGTATTATGAAAGATTTTTTTTATGCATCGTAAAGGATTTTCTTATATTTCGGATTTAGAATTTTGTGCAAAATTTGATTAATCTTTACTTGGGAATCAAAAATCTTTGGAGATTTTCAATTCTGAAATATACTATTGGATTGGCCGATTCCATGAGTTACTGATTCTTAAGACTTGATTTTCATTTTGATAATTTTTTGTAAAATGAAGATTTTGAAAGAAAATACAACAACTCCTTTAATAAGTTGAGCAAAAGTTTTGTATTTTTATTTTGGTTATCGGACACAAATACAAAAATATTTGAATGACGGATTTTTAAATCGTATTTTTCATTTTATGTAAAAAAATAAATCAAATTTTTTTAAACTTTTTTTAATACATCGGTCATCCATCCATAATAATATATTATTTTATAAAATTTTGCCACCCCCTCCTCCTCCTTCCTTATAATGTTTGAAAGAAAAATTCTTTTTTTTAAAAATAATGTACCATAATATTATAATAAATCGATATCTTATTATATATTTTTTAATTTATAAAATAATACGAGATTCCGATCTAATCCTTATTTTAAATTCCGAAATATCTTATTGAATTTTTAATAACTTACTCGTGATGATTTCTAATATTTCCCCCCTCCCGTAAATATGTACATTTTTATTAAAAAAATCGTAACAGCTGATATTGAAAGAGAGTAATATTTTGGCGGATTTGTATTCCAACATGTAAATAGAGCTTCCCCTACCTTATGGATTTTAAGGCAAATTTGCCCTGAAATTTTGGGATAGTTTTGATTAATAATAAAAAGTTCTGGGAAAAAATTTTCTTCATGGTAAATGTGTTTATGATTTAATTTAGGTACTATACCCATGGTTGAATCCATTTCCGGCGAAATTAAACTGAAAGTTTACGCTCTAAATGATAGAAGATAATTTAAGTGTTATACCGTATTACACTAAATTTCTTGACTTTTTGTTTTTTTTTATATACTTTTCTCCTAAAATTTTACGAATCATGTAAAAAAGCTTCATTTTAATATTAATTAATAGATATTTAGATGCGCCAGGAGTTACCCCAAGAATGAACGAATAGATATTTTGTTTTTAACCGTATCTCTATTTATCTTCATTAAAATTAATATTGGCTCCATCTTTTATTTTTACGCGATAAAATTTTTTTAAAGTTTTTCGGACTCGTATGTTGTTAAAAAGCTCTATTCATGTCTATTTTTAAAAACGACCCTATTAAGATTTTAGCCAAAATAATATTATGCAAGTCTCGAGATTTGGCGAATAGTGGTCCAAATACTGTTGTTAAAAAGCCCGATTTGGGTCTATTTTTCAAAACGGCTCGATTAAGATTTTAGTTAAAATCACTCCTCCCCCCCCCCACCTTCTCCATTAGGCCCAAATGATATGCATTAAGATTATAAGCGTTACGGTACACTATTTGAATCATTTGCATTTTTTTTAACTATAAATATAAGTGTTAGACAGTAAAAAATGATATAGAGAGGGGGGGGGTAAGAAAACTGAACGGGCTTTAATATTTATTTGAATAAAAATACGATACTACCACAGATCCAACATAAGTCGCCATTCATTTATTTTCTTTCTTCCCGCTTATTAAAGCAGTACCTTATACACGCGCGCGCACACATACGCATAATATTTAGTAATATATGCCTCTTGATTATCGAGCGCTCCCCCAGCCCAACAACGGCAGTCTAAGGCGGTTAGATACTCTCACTGACGGTTATAACGATCATTTTTCCCACCAGAATAATCATCGATCTCTCAAACACGGGGCTCAAGATTACGGTTTTGGCGGAATGCACGCACTTAACGGCTCCAACAATCCCGGCCAGTTCACAAACGCCCTCAGTAATCATAACCTAAACAACATAAAGATTGACGCCGTTCGTAACGGAGTCAAATACCCAGAGGCTTACCAAAACGGCCGTAATTTCCAAAATTACCAGAGTAACTCCTCAAACAACCCGGACCATTTCTCCCATTTTGCCCGCTTAAATAATGGATCTATTGATAATGAATTCCTCGCTGAAAGTATCCTACCTTATAATCTCGTTAATACCTCCAAAAATGCTTACCCGGACAGTCGAAATAATATGCCTATCATTGTTCGCTCTTCGGCGAAATCCCAAGGGCAAGCACCTCTTCGACAATATCCTTCCCCGGCTTCTAACCACGATATTAATACTCGCGAACTCGACGATGGCTATTATAAGACACCCTCTAATACCAACAATTCTAATGACCATCTTGTCGCTCGTTTAACCCAGAAAACCGATGGGCCAGTTCAGGCTGGTAATACCCGTTTGGCTACCGTGCTGGTTAAATTAGCAGGTCTGGCTCGTCTGAGTGGTTCGGTTTTCGAGGGGCTTCACGCCCAAGCCGTTGACTTTTACGGTCGCTCCATATCCCTCCAGGCCAGGATGGACAGGGCTTCGGTCGCCCTTACAGGGTTAGAAGGATCGGGACAAGATGGGTCATCCATTAAAACTCCGGAGGATTTAAATGACGGTTATATTAAAGGTAAAATAACAGCTGAAATATTTATTGATTATTTATTAATATGTTATTTATTTCGGGTTGAGATGGAGGTTTTAATAAGACCGCTAGTGTTACCAAAAACCTTAATTTCGGGGCTTCTTAATAAAAGGGGTAAATCGAGATTTCAGCCAATAAATATTACCTAAACCTCGAAATTTCGTAGATTGATGGGAGAAAGGTTTGGCTGAACAAATTTTATTAGTTCAAATCTTGAAACGTTTTTTTTAAAAAACGCCTAAATCGAGGTTTTTGACATAAAGGCCGCATTTATAGTAAGCTTGATATAGCTCTCCATAACAATGAGATATACCGATTAAGTGATTATATTGCGATTATAAGCTATATTGGGTTTACTATAAATGAATGCTAATTTTAAATAATCCTAACTGGATTATAAGATTCTATCCTTAGAAGTTAAAGGATACTTTTTAGTCTTCTATAATATATATATATCCTATTTAATTAAGCGTTGCGTTAGAATAACTGGTCCTTATTTTATCGACGACTGTTAATATTATAATGAAGTTTTTGTTTTGTTTTTTTATGAAAATTTAAAACGAGCAATGCCAATAAATGTCAATTTCACATTTTCTAATTTTCACAAGTTTGCCGTTTTTGATTATACCGTATAGTATATCTTATCTAAAATAATACTCTTTAGGAAATTTTTTAGTTTGGTAACCCTGATAGCTAAAGGAATTTATTATTAAACATTCTTAAACGCATTTATATCACAAGCAGATAGTATCTCTTATCAGCTGATAATTAAAAAATTGTCTATTATAATTTTATGCGTTTTAAATTCAGGTTATATAATTATTTTATTATTATGGCTGATCATCACATATTAAATTTTTTTTATATCGATTCAGAAAAAGAAACGCTAGAATGTATTTAAATGGATTTATGGAATTGGAACAGATCGCTAGGACATGTCTTAATATCAAAATCACATTTTTTTAATAATAAAATTCAGAGTTTTAAAAGTATCTTGATACATTTCATAAAAAAAATTGTGTCTCTACCTTTATCTAGATATATTTTAATCTGTAATTTATATATCCAGTTGAAATTTTTTTTTAGTGTGGCTAAAAAATTGTTTACGGATAAATGGGATTTTTTTCAAAAAACTTTAATTTCAAGATTATGTCACACCTTACATGATCAAAAGGAAATCTTGAGAATTTTGTATCGGTATCTATATACTTTTTATGTCGTATATAGGTGTATCTAGATAACATTTGAAAAGTAACTTTTAACTACACTTTATAAAATAAATGACCATGTAAAAAAATTCTTAATATCCGAGAATGAAGATTGAGAGAAAGAGTAGAGGAAAATTTCTAGGTGGGCTATTTCTTTTTTTATTATTGCATTTTTACGAACTCTTTTTTCATGAACCGGATATAGATCTTTAGAATTCTGTGTCTGTCCGATAGCGATTCCAATATACATTTCCATTTTAAAAAAAATGAAAGGAAAGAATTAGATAAATGAAATAAAGAAAGAAAGAAATGAAAAACATAAAAGAGAAAGGATAGGGGAAAAAAGAATAGTTTCCATCATAACTAAATCAAAAATATTTTTTTTTATGGAAAAGTAGATAATTTTCACAAACTTACATTTACTTTTCTTTCTCTCAAAATTTAAAAAAAGGAAATCGATTTGAAAAATATATAAAAAATATTGTTTCCAAATCTAAAAATAAAAAAAAAACGCAAATTTTATTTTCTGTCCCAGTTAAGTAATTTTTTTAAAAAAATAATATATAAATGTTTATTTTAATTTTTTCAAATAAAAATTGATATCATTTTCGTTCTCCTTCCTACATCATTTTTATTTTCTCGGTTGAATAGCCTTCTTTTTTTTGTTATATAGTAAAAAAATATATATATATATATATGTAACTTGCTATAGTGGGAATTATTTCTTATTTTGGTGACAAATTTTTGAAAACTCGCTCAGTTTTAGTGTTTGTTTACTAAAAATGGGAATATTTGAGGAATTCTCAGGAAATTTGATTTATTAAGGTTATAATAAAAATATTATTTTTTTTAAACCCACATTTTTTTTTACAACAATCGGATTGGATTCATAAGATCTCAACAAAAATCGAATAGACCAACAAGTTGTCCGAAAGGACACTATGCCCGCCACGCTAAAACGACTCTACGCCTTGTGCGACGCTCCGCCCCCTTTAGAAAAATTGAACAAATTTAGGTTTTTTTTAAAAAATATATTTTTTTAAAGTAAATATATTTTTTTAAAGTAAGGAGGGTGATATTTTTTTTTTTCAAATATTTAAAAAACTCAGGATCTTACTTGGAATGTAATTTAAATTGGGTAATTTGATAAGAAAAGATTATAATCTCGATTGATTATTAAAAATTATTAATAGCTAAAGGCGAATATCAACTTTAAAGAAAAAAAGAAAATGAATTTATGAGATATCAGTAGTAGTTTTCGACCAAAGTTGGATTGGATTCTTTTTAAAAGCCTGGGTCAGTCAAATAGATTTAAAAAAACATATCCCATACGGAGCTCCCATCAGTAGTACTGAGCCTATTGTACAGTTTTACTTTGATTATTAAAGTTTTTAAAAATATTTTCTATTTTAAATTTTATCAAAGGGAGGACGGGAAAGATGCCGCGAAATTGTACACGGATCCCAGTTATTTTTTCGATCTTTGGAAGCGAGATATGCTGAGTTCCACAACCGACTCAAACAATATCGAAACCAAACCCAATATACGCGTAAGATAATGTTGAATATTTTATATAAATTTCCTAATTTACGGTTATATATGTTTTATTGCCATGATAAAGTGTAAATTAGTGGTAGATGTTGCTTACTAGCAAGGATCATTAAATACTTTTCGCCATCTTCATTTTATTTATAAAAACTTTTATGTATATTATTTTAAATTTATGTCCAAAAATTCTGTCTATAGCATTTCTAAATATCTTCCTTATTACAAGGCCTGTGTAAGAAAACGTATATTTTTTTAAGGGTGTATAAAGTTAAAACAAGTGATTTTTTTAAAAAATCATTGATTTAAGTTAAATAATTTGATTTAAACTAAATTAAACATAATTATCATAATTCATAACTTACAATCTCTTTCTAAATTAGTGCGACATTTAACTCAAACGGTCAAATTCGGACTTGTGCCATTTTGAAATGAGTTATTTGGAAAATACCGCGAAGCGAAAACGTTTCATATCGTAAGCAATGGCTAATTCATATAAAAAGAAAATTTAAATCTCATATTTTTTTGAATAACTGATCTATTGCACTCTATTAATATGAATAATTTGTTTTCTGATAGGGTTAAAGTTTACAATTTCTGTGATATCATAACACAATCGTCTCAAACCCTTAATATTATTAAGCCACTTATTTTCCTTGTTTTGAAATTTTCTGTATATATGAATTCCTCATTTTACTGCTAATTTATTTTTCTTCGGTGTTCAAACAACTGATCTCAAAAAACATAGAGTCCTTTTAGCCATTTACTTAATCCCAAATACATGTCTCTTTCCGTTCCACCCTCCAAATTAATTTGCGAATTTATTTTGTTTTAACTTCTCGAGCCTTCGAAACCCATTTAAATACATCATTTTGCCTCCCTATATTTTATCAACTTCAGACTTTCAGCCCATTCAGAAAGTACATTTTCTTCCAACTGTTTTCGTTATATTGTCATTCCATCACGATGATTATGTGGGTCTTAAACAGAATCCATTCGGAAGATTGCGCTAATATTTAGTAGAAACATTAAATTCCTGACATTTAAGCATCAGCTGATTGATTTTTAAAAAAAATCTTTATCCATAGAATCAAAAAAATTTTAAAAATTAAATTTTCCCAATTTGTTGTCTGTAACTGGAAACAAACATTTATAAAATGGACAGATTTTATTAGCTAACACACCCCGCCTCTAAGGAATAACATGAGTTATTGTTTCCCCATGAATTTTTCTAGTAAGGAGTAACATGAGTTACTGTTTCCTCATGAATTTTTCTCGATAGTAAAGAAAAAAAATTACGACACTTACATTTTATTTAATTTATCTCCTATAAAAATATTAATTTATTCAGAAGCCTCTCACTTCCAAATCGTTATACTCTGCCGATTCTAATTGTAGCCTCCCTCAAAATAACACTACTTATCGCGTATATAACAATTCTCAAATAAGACCTGCTGGCAGCAACGAATTCAACAATCGTCTAGATCACCATTCTAGCGTTAATCAAATTCCAAACAATAGCCGCCCAGATTTCAACTTTAACACAGAAGGTTCGGCAGATTACAGCCAAAACGAACCATCCAATGTTCCCCATATGTTTGCGAATGACGCAAATATTTACCCCATTAATTTCCCCAATTCACCTCCCAATCTTGATTATCAAGGAAGTTATGGCTTGAACTATAACCAAAATCTCGATTTCGGCACGATAGATAACCGAAAAACGAATACTATGTTATATCATCCCAGTCCCAGTAAACTAAAGATTAGCCAACCTTTTCCTCCGATTCGCACTTCACGCCAATTTGACCACCCATCATTTCCCATCGTTTCCACCTCCCCTTACAAATACAGGATTGGTGATAATAACTTTGAATTTCGCGAAAAACAAAACGGCACTAGCTATTCTATGTTGAGATCGCCCGACCCCTCCCAACTTCTTCCCCCTCCCGACTTTTTCTTGTTCAAGGAGGACGAATATAGCGCCAATGGAAGCATTACTGGCAGTTTAAGCAATGGCATTATTAATAATTTTAATCACGTAGCTTCCAAACCGCGCCCCAATATGCCTCCACCGCCATTACCCATTCCTCCCACTCCTCCTCCACCCCCACCACCTCTTAACGTTGGTATGACGAATATATCCGATGATGATCCACATAATAATCAAATGCTCATAGATTGTAATAATATTTTATCAAATTCATATTATTAAACCTAGGCCCTAATTTATCCAGTATTTTTTATTTATTTTTTAAATTTGTGCAATTTTAATATTAACTCTCCCCCCCCCCTAGCTCCTAACGAAAATTCTCAAGAAATTCCATCTCCGAATTACTCCATTGATGTATTAGATAGTCATGCCACCACAGATTACAATATGGCACCCAATGGAAATTGTATTGAATACTACGACCGGGTTCAAAACTCACCCAAAAACAAATTTCGACCTCCTATCACAAATAATTTTAAGCCTGTTGATGATGTTATACCATCCAAAAAGGTCTTCAATGAACAAAACAAGATGAATGATGAGAATATTCCTCAAAGAAATGATTATAATCAAAATGTGAAATACCTGGCTAATAATGGAAATGATGTCGCCGATAATATCTCGAACCAAAAAGTCGTAGAAGACAAAATCCCTCATCATAACGGGGTCGAAGATGATTCCAGCATCAAGTACGCGGACAGCGTCGAAGACACTGGTGGTCCAGAAGATAAAACCGTCAATCATCCTATCGTCAAGGTTATCTATCAAAACGATGGACAAATTTCTAACTTGAGTCGCGTATCAACTACGAGTTCAGTGAGGGACGATTTGCTATCAGCAATCAGGAGTGGTAAACATATTGTTTATTTTTTAACTAATATTTTAATAATAGGGTTAAATATGTATTTTTTGAAAGCAGAGTTTGCTACTTAAGCCTCATTCATAGTGGGATCCGATACGATTTAACAGCTGATCGATTTTAACTTGTTTATTAGATGAATTTTTTTATTAAGATTAATATTTCTTAAATTATTATGAATAGAATTAAAGATAAAATTAATATCTAAATTGATCTATTAATCAGATTTTAAAAATCGATCAGCTGTTAAATCGTGTCATATCGGATCCCACTATGACGGCTTTAGGTTGCATTTATTGTTAAGCGCGATTGGGACAAGCTATACGAAATTATTTGCTACGTATTTCACTTAATCAAGCCAATAATAGATGTTATTTATATATGCGAGCGAAATGATAAAATCCTGACAACTCTTTACCTATATTTCAAAATATATTATAGCTGTGATAAATCAGCTGATTTCTCATCGCATTAGCTAATCTCGCTTACTATAAATGCAGCTCAAGGTCATACCCGAGCATTCGAGGGCATAAGGTTAATGGGAAGCCAAAAATTTCCAAAATTTGATAAAAGTTTTCACATTTAAAATTTTATCGTCTGCTTAAGTTAGTTGTATTGATTTTGCAAATTTTCCATATATTAAAAAGTAATGGGTTATAATTATTAAATGTTTAAAACTACTTTTGTATAATTTATATAAAGGCCTATTTAAAAACGAATCGAATAGTAAATTATTCGTTTTCTTCGAATGCGAATAGAGAATTCTTCGATAAGAATAAAACAAGTAATTGGAATATGCGACGAATTATTAGAATAATTCATTATCGGAATAATATAATCGAATATTTAAATTATTCGAAATAATAAATATGTTTTTTTGATATAATTTTTATCATTTCATTTCTATTCATAACCTATTAATATAATGGGTGACGTTATTAACCAGGTAAACATAAACAGCTCGTGAAAGAATTTCCTTAGTTGGAACTAATTTGCTGTAATAAATCTCATGTCTTATAAAAAGAAGAAAACAATAAGGAAAACTTTTTCTTAAAAATAGGTCTGGCATTATTATGTTAAATTAATATGCATGTTTATCAGATATATGAAACTAAAAAAACTGTCAACATATTTTCTTATATTAAATGGAATTATTCTTATTTAATTCAAATTGTAAATTTTATCAGTAATAAACCAATCGAATACAAATAGGGCGCTATTCAATTTATTTTCATTTTTGAATAGGCCTAATTTATAACTATATATATTTAGTTCAATTTTTTTTAATGACTGACAAACGCGATAACACTTAGATATATCCTTACCCTACATTCACAGTTAGTGTGAATTCGCGGCGTATAGTAAATATAATGTATTTTTATATACTTCGCTGCGAATTCACGCTAGCTGTGTTTGCAGGGTTAGCCATATTCATGTTGAATCTAAAAATCTAGAGTTGCTACTTTTTTAAACTCTTATAAAATAATTATATAACTTGTGTCCAAAGTTAATTTAATTCTTATAATATAATAAAGTAGAAATGACATATAAAAATACAGAATCAGCTGGTGGCACGCCATTTTTGCTTCCCCTTATAGATTTTACATTAAAATTTTATGAAAACTTTGAGCTTATCACCACCTGATTTGTATTCTCATTCAATCCTATCAAAAATTTTAAATTTTCTTTCTATTTAAATCTTATTTTTTGTTTGCACACCCTCTCATCTTACTTAGGGATTCAACTCAAAAAGATGAACAGTAATTCGAATATTTTCACTTCCTATTCTTCATCCTCTAACCCACCTTCCTTCCTGCCGAACTCACTTAATTCAGCCCATAATTGTTACCATGGTAATTATAATTCCGCCACCAATATCAATTCCACGAATAACGGTGTATCAAATGGGGGAAGCTCCGAGTTGCCTCCGCCTAACACTCCCCTTCCTACCGACGTAGCATCTATTTTAGCCAGGCGGATAGCGGTGGAATATTCCGATACGGAAGACACTACCGGGGAAGGGGGTAGCTCCAGCGGAGGAGAATGGATCGAGGAAGACAGGAATAACGAATGAACGATGAAAATTAAATTCAGAAAAAAAAAATAATTCTTTCAGTTATTTACTATATTCTTGATTGGTTGGTTAGAAACAGAACGAAAATTACGATTGGTTATTCAAGCATAGACGTCCATTTGATATAATAACTAGCGAAACTATTTTAAAGAAGAATGATATTAAAAAAAATATAACATATAATTTGGGTGTCAGGAATTTCCCGTTTTGCTAAATTTAATTGAGTTTTTTTAGTTACCATTTTTAGATCGTTACAGTATAATTTTATTAGAGAGGAGTAAGGAGTTTTGGAAGGTTTTGACATTTTCTTATTTAATGTGATATTCTTCTTTTAAAGTCAGCCCTTTACCCTGCATAGTTGGCACGAATTCGCGGCGAAATATACATAAATGCAGCATCTTTTATATATTTAGCGCTAATTGTGAATGCATGGGTAGTTTGTATTTATTTACCTTTTAAAAAAAATTTATATAGTTTTTGCAATCCAGTTAAAAAGGAAGCGAGGGGTAGTAAAATCTAACAAATCAAAAATGGGAGTTTACTCCCTATTTTTAACGCCATCATCATAATAAATATAATTTTTAATTTTTACGCTTCACATTTTTTTAAATGCCATAAAAACGGCATATATGATTAAAAATTAACGAAATATGGAATGGTAAATTTGTTTAAAAGAAATTCAGTTTAACATTTCCAAAATAAAATACTGCTTCCTAATATTTTTTAGTTTTCATCCCAACCTATTTGATTAAGAAGTAATAAAGATAGAAGGGTAATTTATTAAATAATAATATAATTCGACATTTCCAAAGAAAAATATGCTAAATTATCTTTCTAGAAGCTTTTAAACTAGTTTTCTGCATTTAACTATTGCACTATAATATAATTTAAAAAGCAAACAAAATATATTTGAGTTTAACAATTAAAAATAGTTTGATTTATTTTTAAACAAAATACAAATTTATTCATAATCTGGCCTTATATATATAAAAATAAATATGGTATAACAAAATTTTGAATATATTATCGATATTAATAAAAAATCAATCATTTTAAAATAATTTATAGCTTTTTTAATGATGATATAAATTTGCTCCGCTTTTTTTGCTTTGTTTTTCTATTAAAACCGCAAAATTTTAAGTTTACTTTTAGAATAATAACAAAATTTTAAATCGAATCAATGAATGATTTACTACTACCAAATATGCATTAACCTCAACGATACAGCATTATAATTTATAAATCCAACGCAAATAAAAAGCTTTATTTATATATAAATATAATGTACCATCTTTTTTTTATGAAACTTGTCATTCATTTAATTTCGTTTATAAGGAAATATATTTTTGTATAAAATGATCATTATCGCAAATTATTTTTTTACTTTTAAATAAAATAATGGCTTCCCCCCATAAAAGTATGTTTTACTTCTCTTTTTTTTAAAAAATTTTTATATAAATTTTTTTTTATATTTATAAATCGTATCATTTTTTTATATACGAATTTTTATATCATAATAAAAACAAAGAATGAATTGGCTTCAAGTTTATTTGGTGTTAGTTATAGCACGTCTACTGGAGAGAATCTTTTTGTAGCCAGCAGGCTGAAATTACCCTCTATTCTCCAAAATATAATTTTTACTCCCTATTCCTCTTAGAAACTTAGCTTTCATCTGAATAATATAGGGTAGGAAATTGTTCCTGCCCCTTCTTTCCATTTATATTGAAATTGGGTGTCAAGAATGACATCTAATCAGAAAGATTTAATTCCAATGAATCCCTCATGAAAAATACAGTATAATATAATGAACTCCGCAATCTTTTCTCACAGGGGGACAACAAATTTAAAAGGTGAAAAAATAAAAATATATTGTAAATTATAAGTTTTCTGGAATCCCAAATATTAGAATGCAGGGAAATTTAATTATCTGTAGGTCTGCCACAAACTAAGAGCTAAGTAATCTATTTTCGAGATTTATTTATAAAGCTTTTTTTTATATTTTTCCCTGAATTTTCAAAAATTTATTTACATGATATTTTTTTTCATTTAACCTTCTCTTTTTAATACGTGTAAAAATGGCAAAGTTGCATTTAAAGTTACAATTGAAGTATTAAAATCTGTTAAAGATTCGACATTATTACATGGTTGATCAGGTTCAGAATCGCTGAATATTTCAAGGATAGTTGAGGTAGAAGGTAAGTTAATATAAGGAAGTAAAAGGTAAAATGGGATTTGTTGAATATCTTTTTAATTTTCTCCAGCAAGAACTACAAATTTTTTGATTAATTGATAAGATGGAATTCACTTGCATCATCCACGGAATAACATCTCTAAGATCGTAACTGACTATAGAAATAAATTTTGGACATTTATATTATTGTGGTGACAAATAAAAGATGCTTATTAATTTTATATAATTATCACTCGTTTAAAAATAAATAAATTGGATATACATTAATTTAATTTCATGGAAAAATGGTTGGAATTAATTTTGAATATAACTGTCAAATATAATTATTTTGCTTGATAATTAATTATAACAATATTAAAATAATCTTTAAAATAAAAATGTATTTCTGACGATCAAAGATAATTAACGACAATGAAAAATAAACTACATCATGCGCTCATGGAATACCCAGGTCAAAAATATCTAAAGAAAAAAAAATTTTGTGGGACGAATATCAATCTTTGAGGTGAAGAGTCAGCTTGTTTTAATCTTAATTTATGACTTTTTACAAAATCATTATTAAATTAAGGCTTTTTTAATATTTAAAATAATGTAAAATTATCGCGTTTTTTAGGAATTTAGTTTCAATGCTATTATTCACATATATTCCCCACTTTTTAAAAAATAAATTTTTATATATTTGGTAATAATATAGGATTTAAGCCATACTACTTATATTTAAAGTGTAATAACTATTAGCCCAAGTACTTGTCCCAGTCTAGGATTTACAAATATTAGGAACTATAATGTCTATCTGTAAAAAGGGAGCAATTTTTATTTTATAGCCATTTCCTGTTTTTGCTATTAGACTTATTTTCAATAAAATAAATCTTATATATTAAAGTGCTATTCTTGAGCTATTTAATAAAATTTAAATTATGTTTTTAGTTAAATTACTCTTTGAGATATTTAAAATTAAATATAGTGTATTTTGGAATTTTCACCTTTCCAAAGATGGCCATATCTCACGATGTAAGCCGATTTGAAAAGTAAATACATTTTTATTAGCTAGTATATAACACAATCAACATACAAATTTTTTTTTAAATCTAAGAGAGTTGGGTTGAGAATCGAGTTTTTTTGGTTGATTTAATATGATATTAATTTCTGTAAAATGAAATGTTAAGTTATTATTTTTATATCTTTCCTCCAGTTATATATCAATCATATTATTTTTTTTACAATAGTAATGAATGGGATTAAAAGTTTAAAAAAATATTTGAATATTCTTTCAAATCAATATTCGTATTCGAATAACAAATTAATATGCAAATAATCTGAATGAATCGATATTCGAATAAATGAAATATTCGATCCGCAATATTGAAGCACTAGTTTGTAAATGGATTTCTAGAAATTTAAAAAAATGAACATTATAAGTTGTTTTTTTTAAATAACAATTATACATAAAAAAGAAATCAATTAAAAATTTGAGAAAATTAAAGTTTATAAAGGATAAAATTAGAGTTTTCATTATTTTATATAAAAAAAAACTTTAAAGTGCGAATAGAGAAAGAAAATTTTGGTATTAACTAGGGAGAATCGTTATAACTTGATAATCTCGAATTAGTATATTTTTTTTCAAATCAACTTCTTTAAAAGCTGAAATGATGCCAATCAATTCAGTTGGCTTATCAGGATTCGAATCTAAGTCTGCTGGGACAATAATTTCTGTTCTCTATGCTGAAAGCATTCTCATCATCTCCATTTTTTTTCCAATACCCTTGCCTTTTTAATTCTAGAACGATGAAAACCGTTACTATGATTATTATAAATGCCAATATTAAAATGATGGGCAATATATTACGTAAAAATGATATTTCTCTCTGCGGTTGAGGTGTTTCCAATTGATTATAATAATCAAAATTTGAGTTCGCGTTAAAGTCTCTTTGTTGGGACATCTGCCTTAGGAAGATGGCTGTCAAATTTTCATCTCGACCCGAGCTATTATCCATATAAATTCTTTCGCTGAACCAATTTCCTAATTTATCTGTGTACCGTCTAGTGGGATCGTTCTTTGATAAAGTATGGACAGTACTAATACTTGGCGTCATGTTCTTAGCTTGTTGTATGCAGTTGTTAGAGTTTGCATAATCCGTGATATTAAACATTCCATATATTTTTATTGGTGTATCTTTGGTTTTACAAAACGTATTTTTTTCTTCTTTCCTTAAGATTTCTCCCTCCTGAGTTTCAGTATATTCGGTTGTGTTTCGATTTTTCAGTACCGAATTTTCTAATAAATAATTTTCCCTTCGCCTATATTTAATATAAATTAGAAGTGTCTGGCAATCGCATTCTAACGGATTTCGCGCTAACAATACAACGCTACTAGAGAAACTTAATAATTTATAGTTCACCGTGATTATACGGTTGCTACTCAAATCTAATCTAATCAATGATGACGGAAACGAAAAGTTTAAATTAGTTAGCTCATTTGAGTGAAGATCTATCACTTTAATGTTTGGAAGATTGGAAAAGGCGTTATCGGCAATGGCGTTTATAAGGTTGCAACATAGCAGTAATTTGGTTAAGCTTAACGACCCATTGTAGAACACCGGAAATTCTATCTTGGACAGGTGATTGTCATTTAAATCTAAAACCCTGATATTTCCCAAATTTTGGAAATAATATAATTTTAACTCCTTTATCTTGTTGTCACTCAACACCAGCTCTCTCAAACGATTAATTTTATCGAAAGCTCCTGGACGAATATCTTTTATATGACTCTTAATCCACGTTAAATTGGTTAGTGCCAACGAAAACCCATTGAAATACGTGTCGGAGATAAAAGGATAATCGATATTATCGAAATAGACACTTTTTACGTTTGAGGTATTAATGGAATGTAGATATAACCTTGTGTTCCCGTAACTGTTTCCCCGGCATGATAGAGTCGAATTTGAAAAATAGCACGCTCCGCTTCTTTTCTTTGATTTCGGATCAGAGCCCACAAGGAATGTTAGAAAATATAGATGGTGGCATAAAATAAGCGTTCTAATATATGCCATTCATTACATTTGTTGAAATTATAATTTTATCGATCAAACATGAGCATTTAAGAGATAAAAAATAGAATAAATCATAATAACTTTAGTACTTAATATATAAATTTTGAAAGTTTAAGGGCAATAAAATATTTTCGGAAGAAAAAAAAAATTCACATTATATCTTAATTCACTCAAATTTTAAGTAATGAATTTCATTGTTGAATATTAAATTCTTATAATTTATTTTAGATTGCGTATATTTTTGTATTTTGAATTTATCCAAATTCAAAATATTTCTTTTTAAGAGTGAATTAATTTATAATAGCTAAATCTACTCATAAATACCGTTTTCCAGCGTTTATATTTTTGCTTTGTCATCATTGAATTATTGTTTCCACTAATTTATTTTGTAATAAAAGCGAAGTGCTTTAAATAGATGATCGAATTTTTAATTTTTTTTAATGAGATCAAGGTATCCATAGACTTTTTCTCACTAGAAAGCAGGAGGCTATCAAAAAAAGTCTTGTTTATTGCCGGAAAACGTAGTTATGCAGTATTTCTAAAATCCTTGGTTATTTTATGTTTTGTAATAAATCATAAAAATAGTTATTTGATTTCATTTTTCTTAAATATCTTATTTGCAGTATAATTGAATAAAGAGGCATCGATATCATTAATACAG